CGTTGGTGCCGGCCATTGCGATCCTATTCTTCCGTGGTGGGTAGTTCCCATTGGAGGCCATACAATACGAGAGGTTCCCGACAATGCTAGGCTCACTAGGATGAGTACCATTGTCCGGGCCTGTTCATTGTGTCTCTATCACCGCGGCAAGCATGATGAGTGCACCCCCGATTATCGATTCCGTTCTGTTAGACTAACGGTCTTTCTTCTGCATCATCAAGCCTAAGCTTTGACCGGCCTGCTGTTCGCTACCTTTAAGAGCTTTGACCCCCTCCATTTGCTGGGTGTCCAAGCTCCTGCCCGTCTAGGTATTTCGACAACACTACTATCGCTGCCCTTCGACACAGGGGGATCGAAATCCGCCAATCTGTAGCGCTAGGACCATTGCTGATCACCTTGAGTCGGTCAAGTCAGAATGGGGGCCTTCGACCCTTACACGCAGAGCGTGTGTTTCTTCGAATCGGATGGCCAGACCGAAATTCATGTCCCGATTCCGCTCATCGACGCTTTCAACGAAGAGTCTGTCAGCGTCAGTATCAACTATGGCACTCAGCTGGGAGCATGTGTTATTATGCTGCTCGTTCTCCTTCTCATGACTCCTACGGACAGGATCCGCCGGCCATCTACCGTCCTTTACATCGTCGCCTTGGTAGCATGCACGATCCGGATGGCACTCTTATGCTCCTTCTTTCCTTCGCCATTCAACGAGTTCTACAACTACTGGGCGGGGAATTACTCTTCAGTTGGACAACATCACTTCAACGTTAGCGTGGCTGGCAATTGCTTCTCTGCGCTCCTCGTCATCGTCATTGAGGCGGCGCTCATGAACCAGGCCTGGACCATGGTTAGACTATGGCCCAAGGCAGCCAAGTACTGCCTCGCCATATTGTCAGCCGTGATCACGCTCTTCACCATTGTATGGCGCTTGATATACACAGTGGTTCTCACTCAGGCGGTCTTCGCTGCCGAATCTGCTCGGCCGTTTCGATGGGTGGTGCAATGGGCCATCATAACCAACGCGGTGTCCATTTGTTGGTTCTGCGCCTTGTTCAATATGAAACTGATCCTCCACTTGATCTCGCACCGCAGCATACTGCCCAGTGCTCGGTCCCTCGCCCCCATGGACGTCCTTGTTATGACAAACGGCCTTTTGATGATCATCCCAGGTACGTTGATTCCCGCAGTCTCATGTCATGAGTACTGGTCTAACTTGACCCAGTCATCTTTACCGGACTCGAATGGGGTCATTGGGCTAATTTTGAGTCCGCATCACTGACACTTACATCTGTTACTCTCATTCTCCCCATGGGTACGCTCGCTGCTCAGAGATTCACGCAGTCCTATGGACTAGAATATGGACGCTCTGCCGACAACAGACGCAACATGATCCCTATGATCACGCATGGTTCACACCGCCCCCTGAAGGACGCTTCGAGCATTACCAACAGTAGCCGAACGGGCACTACTCCACACATCTCAGTTTCATCAAGGTGCGAGGGCGGCATGGTAGCGAGTTCAAGATCCACTGATCCTGTGGATGTCGAACTGGGTCAAATCGATGATGCAAGCACTTACAACACCGCAAGCCGCGTACGAGTGGATCGAGAGCTCGAACAGCGCGAGGAACGCCTCTAATCACACGTGGAAGGTCTTACTTGTCTCGTTGGCTTGACCAACTTCGAGCACAGCATGGCGTGGCGTTTGGGGCAGCGCGCAAGTTCATTACATAGCGAGTCGTGCATTGGCCACCTCGTTTCCTGGTTCTAAAATATTTGAGCATTTACACCGGTGATTGGATGAAGACATCTGAGGGAGAGGTAGTTTCGAGGCTGCAGTACATCAGATTGTCACTTCTCAACTCCTTTAATATGGATATGTTTACATTGCACTGCCAATCTATTTCCTGCCACTGAGCCGCCAACGCACAACGTCCTGCCGGCTATCTTTCAAATCTAAACACTATGCTTATCAATGGACGCGGCGATCAGGTTCTCGAGAATTTCCACATGAGTGAGACTTATATAACTTCTTGATGTCATTTGCCAGTCTCAATGAGCTCGTATCCTCCTCACCTGAGACACGTTGACACTTGCGTGCGGGAACACATGGTCGTGATAGAGCTGCACTCCTCCTGTATGACAATTCTCCCTTGACAGGATCTCACTCTCGAAGAGGCTGGTTAATCTCCCCAATGCGACCCTGCGAAGTGGTTAGGGCTGATGTAGCTTGCAATAAACGTTGGCGACGATTGGGTGGTCCTGCATTGGCCTCCCAAGCCGGCTTGGCGGCGATGCGCCCTGCGCCGGTACAATCGATTCTTTCATATAAGACCTACAGTAGTTCTGAACAGGCCGAACATTAAGTAGTAGAGCTGGGCGTTGGTAATGTGGTGCCATGGAGAGTCTGGCTTGATGTCCGCCCGGAGCTGGATCAAAGCCAGATGTGGGTGTGAAGAGCCTGCACGAAATTATTTGGTCTTCGCTCCGACTATGAATCTATTGTCAGGTGATCTGCGAAGACCCGTGCTTGGTGCGACTGTGTTCCCTCCATTTCAGTCGATTCGCAGGTTGCCAGTTGGCGCTCCCAGCATGCTGACCCCTGGTCGAAAGTCGCTCTCAAGATACTGAATGTAGGATCCCAAAGCTCTGAGTTACTCGGCTTGCCGCGGCATTTGAGAGACGCCATGCTCTGTGCTTTCAACTGAGCGATGTCCGGTTTACTCATGTTAGTGAGAGCCTCGTACAGCCCGATCAGATCTGCAGAGATGAAGGCCCATGTCTATCAGACAAGATGCTAACATTGACGGAAGCCAAAGGCAAGGAATCTCTGCTGTACCGAACGAGTCTTTTGTTGTTAGTTGTTGATGTTGGGCGAGTTTGCAGCTTTCTGACAGCTGGCATCGTCGCTGAACATGGCAAGCACTGCATTGTCTTTGGCCTGCGCCCTGTAGCCGAGGAATTGGCCCTGTTTGCTCCGCCAACTGTAGGGGAGAACTCTGGTCTCAAAGAAAGTATGCTGCTCTTTGTAGAAACCAATTCATCGACAGATTCGCAGTCGACGTGCGGTCCGGACGTAGAATGCTCGTTGACGTTGACGGTTTGCGTAGACTCATAACTAAGTCCGAAACAAGCACCACAAGAGCGGCTTGATACTGCATCAACAGACTTTTGCACATTAAGACTATGGATGTTTGGCAAGCTCATATCTGGCAGTTGCATGAGAGGAGGATTAGTAGCATGCGGTACATATTTGTACTGGCAGGATGAACTCTGAAAACAGCTGCTCATTAAATCTGTCGAGAGCAGTCACTAAACGGTCATTTCGCGAACAGTTTCTTCTGGCTGACATACCGAGAGCTGTCCGCGAAAAACTTTCAGCGACGGAAGATGATCCCTTGCGTTGCGAAATGAAGCTGTCCACGAGCATACCATCACCGGGGCGCAAAGTTTTGCGAGTAGTACGCAGGGAGCTCTGATCTGCAGTAATTTCAACGCTGGAAGCAGTTTACTGTTTCTCCGGATCAGCCCTGCCTGCTCCCAGTTTACAGTGGACGACATTCTTCGAATCCTTTTCAACTTGCGATAGCGCGAGGACTTGCCGATGTCCCGCCACGAAAGATAGGGGTGCTGTTCGTGCTGAACCCTTGGCGAGTGGCGATGAATAGTTTCTAGGAATCGAACCTGGTTCACGAAGAGGGCGCCCGCATGTGTTTTCTTTGGTACGATCGTGAAAACGTCGATTTTATAGGCCCATCACTGGATGGGAAAAGTTCGACCCTGGACCGTGTTGCAGCAGCTCGAATCTGTGTATTAGGCCAACGAGGCTGCCTCGGGTCGCTTGGGGGTATCGATCGGAAGCTGTTGAGAGTGCATAGGTTAATACAATGCTGCGCGTGCCTGAGATGCGGACTATATTGGGCCGGGTTGTCTGAATGTTGTAGATCATATGCGAGAGTTAACATGGAGGTGATACAATATCTCGTTGTATGGACATGATCGACATGGAGGCTGCTCTTGCCGGTCTCAAACCGAGCAATTGGCTCCCTTGCTAAGGTAAGGCAGTTAGAAGGAAGCGTTCCCCTAAAGGCGTTTGGCACACGCGTACTAGTCCGTTGACGCCATGCATTGTAATATCTTCGAATTTATCCGTTGAACCAGCGAAGCGCAACGACACTTCGATGTCGTCTGGTCGTAGCCTACTGCCTTTTCTAGGCCATTCCATACGCACTTATCTTACAACATCCCAGCCGTCTTCCGTATTGTACACATATGATCCAAGCGCATCGAGTCAGACTTTCGCATCCCCATCGTCAGGAGTTTCGATCGAAGTTTACTGCCTGTTGCGCGCTGTCAACAAATGGACTCGTAGTTGGGACAACGAAAGTCGGAATTCTTACGGTGGCAACAGGAGCTCGCCCCAGGAGCTGGCCAGGAAGGTGACGGCAACCTGCAAATACGTCAACGACTTCGTAAACAAATCAGGTAGAGGGCATCTTACACCGAACAAGCCGATGCTGCGGACAACGGCGGCGTTCTCCGAGGAAGCCAACATGTCGTAGGTAGCGCCAAAGTAGCCCTTGGGCTGGTTGCGGGAACCACCGCGCTCGACCATAACTCTTTTGGGGGCCATGGCTGCTTGAATGTGTCTCAAATGTCGTGCGATGTCTTGTCTGTTGTCGGCGGTCGCGCTGATGATGGTGGCGTGGAAACGAAGATGCTGCGAGGTGGAATGAGATGCTAACAAAATTTTGTGATAATGTCGTACAAAGCTCGCACGCGCGTTGAGCCTATTGCCGGGCTACAGTTCCATACGCGCGCGTAATAAGCAGGTATGCACTAGAATAGAATGACTCAGCGGACTAAGCGCTCATGCTCGCGCTAATTAGGCGCCAGTGCTATCACAATGATGCTACATCTCTCACCACGACTTGTGGCAAATTCACCGTCTAGGACTCTAGTTCTCACTGCGACTAGCACACATACGCACGAGTCGGCCAAGAGATGTCGAATGCCGATGGTGAGCAGCCTGGGGGCTTCATAAACCCAGGCCCTGGCTTACCCTCCCCTGCCCCATCATCCGCGTCCACCGGGTCATCCCCGAACCTGCCTCATCCGCGGAGCAGATCACTGCAGTCAGGCTCACGGAAGGAGGAGATGGTCAGGCGCTACGTTGAAGATCGACTGCTGCACATCTCACGTCGCTATGTGAAAAAGTTCGGGGACCCGGACGTCGGCAGTGACGTAGTCGGGTACAAAACATTCAGTGAAGTAGCTCGTGACCTAGACACAGTCATCAACGTCTTGTGGTTATCAGCGACGCGTAAGCACTCACAAGATCATGACGTGGGTCATTGGTTGACATGCGATAGCGGAGCTACAGATTCCCTTCCTGTTGAAGTTGGCGAGCGATCTCACACAATATGTGCGGTCATTTCCACCTGCACCCAAGGCTTCTTTTGAAGTACTCGGTAAACTGGATCATTGTTTTGCAAGCCTACTATCTGGTCAAGATATTAGCTCCGGGGAGACGCTCCCAGGCTTTGAGCGAGGCCTAAGAACGGGAATGTCGACCACAGACATGGTACGGTGCCGCAGCCTTGTGGAACAGACAAGAGTATTGATGGTAGAAGTTTTGAGTGGAGTGCCCGAGGACGAGGATGCTGAGGATGGTGTGGACGATGAATCCGATGAGAACAACATTGACGAATCGGATGGACCTGAATCATCGGTTCGCGACGCATCGGTGGCCTGGGATATCGACGAAGATATGATGCACTTGGATGCGGCTCGTATCTACGAGAATACCATTGTGCAGTTGGGAGGTCGTCTAGGCGATCCATTGGGAGCTGTCAACATGACGGAGGACTGAAGATCACTCCCGACGGATCGCTTCGCGCTGGCTCGAGCATGCAAATAGTGAGGCCTGGCTGATTAGACTGCAAATAGTGTTATACGTCAGGATTGACTGGCAGCGAGTGATTTGTTCGGCATTATGTCTTGACGGGTCAGTACAGCACAGTGCACCCGACTGCCGCACTTACTGCTGTTGTTGCTGCTTCTTCTTCTGTTGCCGTAGCCAGGATGACACGAACACGATGCCGAACTTGCTCTTGAGCGGGTTGATGAAAGTAAATTTACACACATGCAGCATGACCCTGGACAAGCGGCCCGGGCGCGTAGGCTTTGCATTCTTCCTAGTCTCTTAGATCAGTCTGACCAGGGGCTGGGAGAATTGTACAGTTTCTACTTCTAGAAACCATTGCCAAGCACACTGCCTTGGCGCATTGTGACACGCGTAGTGGACGTGATGAAATCGCGACCTGAGGGTCTATCGTGGGGCGAAGTTTGACGCATTATGCAGCTGAGGCACAGAGAGCACGCAGACAAGAGGCATTGCATCCCACGAAAATACATCCACTGACTGGCATTTCCATGAGCATTCGCTGATTCAGGGACTCGACTCCTATTTGGGTCACGACTGGTGGATGGTGATTCATCATTCCGGACTCCGGTAGCGGAAAAGACAGGCGGGTGGGGGGCAAGCCGCAAACCTCTCTCTCAGACTCTCAGTCTCCAGTCTCTGACTTTGACTCTGACAGTCTCTGACAGTCTCTGACAAGTGCATGATTATGGATGGATGTGTGCATAGCTCCAGCGGTTTGACGGCTGCCACGTACGTTGTGGCGTAAGGGGCATGGGCCAGGTTATCTTGATGAAGATGGATGCAGGCTGTCGTGGCAGAGTTGGTACGAATAATAATATGCCCCGCTTTGCTATCTTTGCATCTGTTGCCAGATTCCCTTTCATTCGCGGAAGCCAATCATATCCACTTTGTGCCTGGCCAAGCATTTCGATGGAGCCTCCTGTGGTTTCAACCTTTTAACCTCTGTTTCGTCCTCTCACCCAATCAGCTCAGCTATCTATGCGGGGATGCCCTGAAAATCTATTTGCGCCAAGGCGCTTTGTCCAGCCGGCGAATGGCGGATCGACACCGTACTGGTACATGGAGCACTCGCAGCTCCCCTGCAGCAGAGTCTTGACCGTCAAGCTCTTTCCAGTCTGCGGTGGTTAGACGTGTCGAGCAGCCTAGAGGCCTATATAAAAGTGCCCGATTCCATCTGCCGCAACTGTTCCGTTCTCATTGTTCTTTGGTCGTTCCATCGTTTGTCTCTTTGAGATTGTCGCGGCTGTGCCCACGACTGAGTCTCCTTTCCACTACATTCTTTACCAGCCCCGGCGGCTTACCTATCATTCTTATTCGCTCTCTTCAGTGACTTATCGTGTGGTCTCCTTGTGCGCACCTCCAAGGAATCAGCCCTCACTTTAGACGCAAAATCAATACCAATACCAGAGGTGCCCAAAACCTCCAGCTTTCCTTTCAAAATGAGGACTTCCACTCTTGGCGTCTTTCTCGCTTCCGCCTTAAAGGCCTGGGCTATCAAGCCACCATCTATTGACGGCATGGGGCTGACTTGGTACGATGATTTTGCTGGTTGCGCTGGCTGCGAACTCGACCTCGACGAGTGGGAGTATCGTCTCCACCTGGACCATAATAAAGAGCTTCAGGAATATACCGACTCAAACAAGAATGCTCAACTATCTGGCGGTGATACTCTTCAGCTAGTGCCATGGAAAGACAACAAGGGCGAGTGGACCTCTGCTCGTGTCGAGACCCTGGACTCATGGACCCCTCAGCCGGGGAAAAAGATGCGTTGGCAGGCGAGTCTCCGTATGGGCGACGCTTCCGCTAGGCAGGGGATCTGGAATGCCTTCTGGTTGCTGGGGGACTCCGTTCGTCATGGCACTGAGTGGCCCCTGTGCGGCGAGCTCGATGCTTTCGAACAAGTCAACGGGATCATGGAGGGCCACGGCACGATGCATTGCGGCGACGAAGCGGGCGGAATCTGTGACGAGCCCAACGGATTGGGGGCCTCTGTTCCCATGCCCGATAACGATTTCCACGACTGGGCCGTGGAAATTGATCGGATATCTGACGACTGGAAGACAGAAACAATTTCTTGGATGATGGACGGCAGTAGCTTTCACAAGATCTCTGGATCTGATGTGAACGATAAGCATGTGTGGGCCACGCTGGCACATTCTCCCTTTTTCATGATCTTCAACGTGGCTGTGGGCGGCACTTGGCCCGTAAGTACAATCCATGTCCAAAAGTTGAACTCTTGGCTTACCATACTCACTAGGGTGACCCGGACAACGCCACGCAGGACGGCTACGCGAACATGATGGAGGTCCTCTATGCTGCAGTATACGAGACGAAGTGAGGCAACTTTGCGGCAACTGCAAGCTTTATCTCAGGCGACAGGCTCGTCGAAATCTGTAACAGCTCACTTTCGCTCGAGGTCAATATGTAGCTTAGTATGCCGATATGAAAGCATTCGGATGCCCCAAGTTGTAGAGGGAAATGTGAAAACTTCAGGACGCCAACGGTCAAGCTACCGAATGGCTAATATTGTATCCACTTACTTCAACGTTGAAGTACTCTCTTGATGGTATCTACTTCGGCAACGAGGCGTAACGACGGAATTTTGTTTCGGCAAGCAATCAGCGAGTGCCTAGCTCGGTAAACCAACTCTCGTTACGGTATACATCGTTTTGAGTTTCTCGCTCAACCGCGCAACATGAAATCAACTTCATTCGCCGCAGAAAAGGACCAAATGAGATAACCAGGCGGATAGGAAATAAACAGGGCTGAAGTTCCCAGACTCGCCAATTTTCCCTCAAGCTCTCAAATTGAGCTCCTTCTCCATTTCCTCCATGCCGCCGCCATGTCGCCAACTGAACGCGAAGTATCTCCATGTCAACGCCGTAATGAATGGGATAAGATTAAGTATAGCCCCAAGCCGTAGCTTGCAAAAATCAAACAAGAAAGGTACCATGCGGATCATTGCTCGGTGCTGATCTCGTTACCATCCATGGCAGAGAATGCTCCATTGAAATCAAAGGGCTGGTTGTCACCATCTCCGTCATGCAAAAAGGAGTCGAAGTCGAAGTCGTTGAGGACATCGCCAGTTTGCAGCGAATTGTCCATGTCCATGAAATTCTCGTCAGTGTTAGCATCATTGATATTTGTGAGCAAGGCGTATAGGCATACCATTGAGAAATCGTTGTTTAGAGCCAACGAGTTCTGACTCATGTCTGGCTGACCCGGCGGAGGCCCCACGGGAGCAGCAGCGGACTGAGCATTGGCCGTTGACGTGGGCTGGTTGTTCGTAACGTTGTTCTGGCCATTCTTGAACCCAGCGGTGACAGGGGTGATGGGGGTTGCCGGCGGGTTCTCTGATTCAGCATTGGTTTCAGCTGCTGGAGTCGCTCCCGTGTTGTTGGCATTCTGGTTAGCCTTTTTATTGGCTGCGCCACCCTACATAAATTAGCGGACATCCAACACCGTCCTGCAAAGTACGTACCTTCTTGGTGCCCTTGGTCTCCTTCTTCTTTGGCGCAGGCTTGTTTGCTTGGTTCGGGGTTGGCGGCTGAGCAGATGGCTGCTGAGGGGACGCCGTCGTGCGACTGTTGGGATTCGCAGCAGCGTTCGCCGGCGCTGATGGCGGCGGCATGGCTCTTTGCTGCGGAGTTCCTTGCGCCTGGGGGTTTTGCGGCATGCCCTGAGGCATCATTTGCCCGTTCGGTCCCTGCCATACCTGCGGGTTGCCTTGTGCAGCAGCAGCCTGTTGCTGACGAGCCGCCATCATGGCGGGATTCATCTGTCCGTTGAAGACCTGCCCAGGATGCGAACTAGGCGGTCGCATACCATTCATCTGGGGTTGAGCCGGATTCATACCAGCCTCTGCCCCCTTATTGAAGAAATGGGGTGCCATGTTGGGGTCTGCATTAGGCATGAAATTCATGCCCGGGTTTGGCGAGCCTCGAGACTGTTGTCCACCTTCGGGGACCGGTGACGGAATGCCAGCGTTGTTCATCTGTGGCGTGCCGCGCTTCATCTGCTCAGTAGGATTAGGTGATGTGCCGCTGCGCATGGCCTGCGGTGATGTTTCCGGGAATGCTTGGCCATTGGGTCCGGTCGGTACTGCGCCTCCGGGGCCTGGCACGCTGCCGTCGCGCGGCATTGTTCCGATGCTATCTTGCTCTTGTCGGGCCATCATAAGGCGCTTCTTGTTCTGCTGCTCGAGCAGCATCAGTTGCATCTGGTAATCTTGAAGTGCATGGTTGCTGCCACCTGGTGCTTGACCTGCGGGCCCTGCACGGAGACCATTCGGACCGCCCATCTCGCCCCCAGGTGGGTTGTAATAGTTGTTGAGTGTCGTTCCGTCGGGCCCATGCATGAGGGGCGGCGAGCCTTGTCCTTGCGGACCGGCGGCATTTGGCATCTGCTTATTACCCATTTGGTTACCATGATGTTGCTGAAGACGCTGAGAGTAAGTGACTTGAACCATTCCGTCAGCATCAGAGGGGGGGAGGGTGTATTTACAAAGTTTTGGAACTGCTGCATCTGGCTGGGATTCAGACCGTTTGCTAGCATTTGCTGAGCTGCAGCAGCATTGGGTGCACCGGGCATCTGCTGCGGAGGCATGCCGGGTCGCCCATTCGGCATCATGGCACCAGGCTGGTTGGGGTTGAATGGACCATTGTCGACACGCTGGCGTTTTGAGGGAGAAGGCGCGTTCTCGCCCGAAGACGGTGAAGCTGGTCGGTTCTGGTTACCGTCCATGGAGGATGGATCGCGCTGCATCTGAGCTTGCTTGGCCTGTTGCATCTGCATGGCTATTTGAGGACTGACACACGTTCGTTAGCTTTTGCACAACAGACAGAGCGGTACAAACCGACTTGTTCTGATTGTTGGCCATGGCCGCACGAGCGAGATTTGCGGGCTGTTTCATGTTGATCCCACCAAGAGCACCATTCTGCATGCGCATCATATGGTGATACTGCTGTTGAGCCGTTTCAGGGCGCATTTGACGGAGTAACTCCTGCTGGACCTTTAGCTTAGAGGTGTTCATTGCAAATGTGGGGGCCGGGGGTCGCAGTCAAACCCATGTAGTAGTCGCTGAGACAGTCGACCAGTACTTACCTGTGTGTGCGTTACGTATTGATTGACATTCGGATTGCCGCTCTTTGCGCGTTGCGCATTGTATATATCCCAGAAAAGACAGAACCACTCATACAGGAAAGACGAATCGGAGGCAGGCATTGGTAGCTTCGGCTGCGGGAGGTCGTCGGGGATTTTCGAATCGATATCGTCCTTTGAATCGGTGTCCATATGCTCGTCGCCTGCCCCGTTCATCGAGTTGCTACCCTTCCCATCCTTGAGTACGTTGACTTGCTGGTCGCTAGAGAGTAGGGACCGGGCGCAATCGAACATGCCGTATCGGATAAAGTACTCGTAAATGTAGGTGTTGAGCACACCACGTTGGCTGTCGTTTACCTGCTGCAAGCGAGGCCCTGGTGCGCCGGCTGCGGCCTGGGGGTTCATGGCACCATTGTGCATCATTGGCACAGGCGCACCGCCCACAGGCCCCCCCATGGGGTTTGTGTTGGGAATGTTGTTCATTTCGACGCAAGCCCGCACTGCGATCGGCTTTCCGGACTGTACGGCACGTCAACCTCTTGCGAAGTATTGAGCAAGACGCGATGACGTGCGCCGCGAGCGGTTGCACACCAGCGCTGTCGATAGAAGGAAAACACCAATGGTGTCGCTGAGCGCCTAGCCCCAGTGCTGTTTCCTGTCGAGCGTCGCAAATGACTGTGGCTTGTCTGTATGTACAACAGTCGCAGCGCGTAAGATTTGACAGCGAGGCTGTGCGGTAAAGTCGATGGTGCCGACTCGCACGTAACCGAGACGCGAGTAGCGGCTTGGGCGAAGGCTGTTCGTTGGCAAGCACGAGCGACTTTGATGGCTTGTTGTAGGAGAAAAAACGATCGAACCGGCGGTGTCCGAATGAAAGTGCCGAGCTGGTAGGATGAACAAAACGATGCAATGAACTTCGACTTTCGTTCTCAATTCGAGAATTAAGGTTGGCGCGCGGTCGCGGCGATCCAATGAGCTGAGGACAAGTCGCGGTAGCCGATCAAAGTCAATGAGCAAATTCCGAAGGCGAGTCCTGGAATACAAAGAAGTGCAGAGCAATATATGGCGTGATGGTTCGTGCGCGTTTGCAGGGCGTGGAGTTGTGATTGAGTGTGGTGTGTAGAAGCGGGCGGGCGCGGTTGTGTCTTTCTTCTAAACGTCTGGCCGTGGATGTCCGTCTGCGATTCGCTTTGGCCTGACGAGTCGCCAAGCTGCGTCAGTATTGGCGAAACGGTCGCGTTGGATGCTGTGAGAGCCGCTTCAGCGCTGGTCAAGCATGCGAAAGATGGTGGACAATGTTTCTGACAGACCAGCTGAGGGAACTTGGGTAAGGTCGTCGAAGCGTAGCGAAATGGAAGGGAATTGCAAATCGAGAAACGAAGTGGGAACCCGATCAACTGGGGTGAGCGGCCTGACAGGCGGACAACCTCACCTAAAGCTCGCCAGACATAAGAACAGCCGCATCCGACAGTACCGCAGAGCACAGTTCGTGGGCGGGACATCCTACTATATGCACTGTATAATCCGCTAAACTGATTGACCTATACAGTGTTTATACACTGACCCAACGAGGCGGCAGATGAAATACTTGTGTTGACCATTGCATCGGCGACGGGCACGCAGTGGCAATGTCTTTGTTTTCGCGCGATAGTAACACCCGAAAGCCAATGCTGCTATCCTAGAGTCATAGAGCACTCACACAGCTGAGATTCTCTTTGCGCGTGGATAGACATGCTACGGTTCATCGAAACCATCCGAGTTATTTTGTCTACTTCTGAAGCATACTGCGACAACAGTGGCGTACTCGGCAGCATGGCAACGTAGATGTGAGAACGCCCCTCTGGCGGCCTTAGGCAGAAATGAACTCAAATCTCCCATCCCATTACATCACGCCGAATGACAGCGCTGTCGCATTAGTAAGGCCCATTTACGACCGCCACCAATTCCAGAGAAAATGAAGCCTTTGTGCTGTGAACTGCGAGGAGACGAGGATAATTCGAACTTTGCTGGCTTTATACAAGTCTTTCATGACTTGATTACCATGTCGGACGCACCCTGAGATGTGGTTTCAGAGCGTCACGGCATTAATTAGTGGTCTACTTCGGTTGATATATGTTCTCTCTTTTGAGTGCTGACTCGTATATAGACACCGTAAACGTGAAATGCACTCCCATTCATGTGTATCCTCGCTCGGCATTGCATCTGCTTTGATATCTTATAAACCTTTCCGCGGCAGCAGGCGTTGTGGGAGGTGAAACTCATGGCAGATACTGGAGCTCGGTTCCATCTGTCTCTTCGCAGAGCGCTCGCAAGCTCTCAAAAATCCTGCCCGCTGCCCGTTGTGGTTGGAAGCTGCATTGGACAAGCATACCATTCTAATCATCCCAAAGCGGCGAGAGACGTCAAGCTGACCAATGTCCCCTCGGCGGATTCAGGCCAAAGTCTGTCATGAAGTTCATGAACGTATATGCGGCTGCAGACGTCCCTGAATGATCGGTCTGGGTGCTATGGTGATCGCGTCTAATCGTCTTCCGGCGGTAGCTCATCGTCAATGTATCTCACTAGTGACACCCGCATCTCAGTGGTGTCGTTCCCTCTCAGTACGTCGCTGATGAAATGCGCCTCGACCTGCATTTGAACCATCTCCAATGCGCCTCTGAGGACGCCGCAGAGAATGTTCGAGTACCATAGCTCATCCTGTGCACGGCCATCATCCGGAAGCTCGACGAAATCTGCAAAGGGATTCTCGTCAAAGACGAGGGAGAACTGGTTGTTATCATTGGTCCAATTCGTGACCTGGGGCGTAATGTTCAGAAAGATTTTGAATCCGACCTAGCGAAGTTGTTAGTAAATGCAGGATCTCTGGAATAAGTACATGACCGTGCCTTTGCGATCATATCCGCTGTCTCCCGAAAACTTGTGCATCGTTTCATGGTGTTTGACTTGGCTAGATAGTCCTCGATCAGACGTAAGCCAATGTTGTAGCCCATCTTGTCCAGTTGCTTGTTGACCTCCTCGTAGTCATTATCGTAGTCTTTGCACAGCTGGACTACAATTGTGCCGTATGTGAGGGTGACGAGCTCAGTGTTGACCTTGTCTATCCTGGTTCTGGAGTTCTAGGTCAGCTCGCATCTTTGCCGATCCATCCAAAAGCTCACTTCCAAATTCTAACACCGGGTCAGCGCATTCAAATCCCTTGCTGATGACCACTCACTCTTCCCCTATCCTGGATGCTTTGTTTGAGGACATGGTGAGCCAGAGTAGGGAGCCCAGTCGAAAGTCAGGGTTCACACGTCGCAATTGACACTTTGCAACAGGCGGAGGGGTTCTTTGCGGGCTAGCCTGATCTCAAACAGTTTCGCTTCGTCGTTGAGGCTGCAAACGAGGTAGGATATGCTGTCGATGTATGTACTGAGCACACATCACAGCTCACAGCCTGAGTCGCAGTGTGGGGAGGCCGACTCCAAACGCACCATGACCCTCAACGGGCAGGTTTAGTGATGTGGATACCACTGGGAAATTCAATGGGAAAAGGAAAGCCCGGCAACCAATCAGTAGGACGCGCAAACACGGCACTCAACCTTCGCCATGAGACAACTTTGTGTACACTCTTTGACCACCAGACCGCGTCACAGCACAATTTGTTAAGAGCTTTTCGCAGCCATTCGATCAGTGTCACCCGCCTTCTCCGGAATTTTCGTAGCGACCGGTCAGCATGTCCGCCGAGAAGCGTCCTGCCGAGGACGATCCAAGTTCGTCCCAATCCCTAGTCAAAAGGCAGAATGTGCAATCCTCAGAGGGTGCCATTGCGCGCTTGAATGCATCTAGCAATGCCCTCGCCCAGAGTGTGAGTACAGATCTCGCGAGTGCGATACAATACCTAACCTTCAGCCAGGCTCCTCGAACAAGCGGGCTACAGGCGCCGGTGATGCAGCTATCGGGTCATTCTGGAGAGATCTTCGCGTCTAAATTCGATTTGACAGGGAATTTAATAGCATCTGGCTCGATGGACCGGAGTATCAGTGCGTTTGGCGAGCTTGTTGGTATGGAATCCAGCTAACGCCGACAGTGCTTTGGCGAACCTACGGCGACTGCGAAAATTACGGCATACTCAACGGCCACAAAGGGGCGATTCTGGACCTTCAGTGGTCACGAGACTCCGAAGTGCTCTTTTCAGCATCTGCAGATATGCATCTTGCGAGCTGGGATTTAACGTCCGGGACGCGCATAAGACGATATGTCGGACACGAGGAGATAATCAACACGATGGACATCAGTCGACGAGGTGAAGAGCTACTCATCAGCGGGAGTGATGATTCGACAATTGGTATTTGGGATCCACGGACGAAGAGTGCGGTAGATCACCTCGAGACCGACTTCCCGGTGACAGCGGTAGCCATTTCGCCGGCGGGCAACGAAATCTATTCGGGTGGCATAGACAATGATATCCGCGTGTGGGATGTCAGGAAAAGGGCAGTTGTCTATACAATGCTGGGACATGCCGATACTGTGTCATCACTACGTGTGTCTCCAGATGCGCAGTCTCTCTTGTCATACTCGATGGATTCGACGGTGCGAACTTGGGACATCCGGCCGTTTGCGCCCACTGAGCGGCACATCCGGACCTTTGATGGTGCTACAATGGGTTTGGAGAAGAATCTCATGGGAGCAAGCTGGGACTCCCAAGGCAAGCGGGTGGCTGCCGCCTCGGGTGACGGCACCGTTCTCGTTTGGTCTACAGAGACGGGCAAGCTGATGTATAAACTTCCTGGCCACAAGGGCACAGTCAATTGCGCGGAATTTGGCCCAGGAACCGAGCCCATATGTGAGTTGCGCGCCCTCAGCATGCTTGGGACAGTGCTGACATGGACAAGTGCTATCTGCATCATCGGACCGGACCATGCTGCTCGGAGAACTCCGTTGAAGGGAAGTTCTGAAATACGGACCAAACAATCAAACAAAGAGGATCACAGTTCCTTTGAATGATCAGGGACCTGGAGTGAGTTAATTGGAAGAGTGCGACTCATCCAGTTGGTACTGAGCTGCACCACAGTGGGCAACAGTTCACCCAAGCAAACTGCTCTTCTTGAGCAAGGTGCCAGTCGACGACCATAGCCAAAGCGGACCTCAATAAAGTCGTCTTGGTCTGTATAGCTCGATCAAATCAAGTTTACCAAGCGAGAGACATGTGAGGCAGCTCCAACAATGTCGCTGATCCAGCAATTAGAAGACCAGTGTCTGACAGCAATGATGGATAAAGAGCGAGCGAGATGACTCGCAGCCGGGGGGGATCTAAAAATGAATTGCAGATGTCAAACAAACCAGTGTGTGGTATTATCATGGTTCAAGTGACTGGCTGACAATTCACCTGAGGCGTTCTTACGCGCCGGACAGCATTGTGATACGGGGTGGAATGCGCCAACTTGAAACACAACCTCCAGGCTCGCCAATCTCCACAAATCTGATCCTGACAGCCCCTTGATTCTGCGACAATGACCTTCACGCTTTGCTTGCGTCGTATCAGTCAATGCGAGCAAAGAACGTCTATGGCAGACCATTGTTCCAACATGCCGATCATGCATTCCCTGCATTCTTGCGACACCGAAGTGTCGCCTTACAACCGACGTGGTCACCAAAGTCGACCAGACAGGTTTCATATCCTTAACCAACCCTCGTTGACGACTGGACAGCGAACATCACAAGCACGTATCGTCCAACTTCGCTCTTGATGTGCGACGACTACCAAATGATCAATATGCAACACCCTTTAATCAACAGATTTCCACGATAAGGCAACCCAGTGCTCTGGTCACACTCTCGGAATATCACATCAACACGAAGAGCTGGCTCTTTTTGCGACGCTACTGTTCTCAACGACCTCATTCTACCGTTGTTGTCGGATAGGCTAGCCACCCGGCGTTTGGACAGCAATTCACCATTTCGCGAACATCTGGCGCCCTAGCTATATTAAAGATAATCTCAGGATGCCTCATGTCCCCTCCAACGGCAGCGTCATGGAGCGCTTGCGAGAAGACCTACTCAGAAGGGCCAGACAAGAGCGAGAAGTCGAACTTGAAGAGGGTCATCAACGCCAACCAACGCAAATGCTGGGCGCGGAGGAAAGCAGGCCTGATCTGTGGTGTCGGTTCAACGAGTGGCGGAGAATGAGGCGCAGAGCAGGTCAACAGATATCTAATCAGGCGGAAGACGCTGCTGAGGTCCTAGAGAGCCCCAAACCGACAGCACACAGTGTGGGATTCCAGGCATTGCAAACAAGCCGGTCCGCACTGCCCACATTAGCACAGTTGTGGTCGAGACAGCCACCGCAAACAGCTACACAGACCACGCCGCGGGTGGATGACAGACCGTCGCAGGCCGAGACCTCTAGACAACCAGAAACACTTGCGCAGATGCCCGTGCCACCGGAGCCTGTGATACGCACGACCAGAGAGCGCACGACGTCTGGCGGGTATTCCGCCGCTGAGCGTCCCGACAGCACCGGACAACCTGGGGACGAGGAGGAGCAGGAAGCGCGACGAAAAAGGCGCGAGAAGCGACGCCGTCGCCGAGGCCTAGGTTGCAACCGGCGCAAGCAGAAGCACTCGACAGGCCGCCCGCGTAGGTTTTTGGGTTGTTTTCCGCGTGTCAAATCGCGGCAAATGCGAGCGTACATTGTCCGCTGTTTTGTCTCGGGGCTGTTCCTGGTTCTGCTGCTCACCATCTGTAAGTCTCTGTGCACTCTAAACGACCTTAGCGTGGCTGACAATGATAGATTTGTCACTCTCCGTGAGCAACAGTATTAGCATGGGGAGCTCCCTGATTGTACTGATCCTAATTGTTATCCTGGCTACCCTGTTCTTTTGCTACGGTTTGATCAAGCTCTGCTTGCTCGTTGTGCGGCGAGACCGTGCGAAGGAGGCGCGAACATTGTCACTGGAGGAGAACGAGCAGACTGCTGGATTTGCGATACCTGCTTCGCCAATTCCGGTCCTGCTTTCTCGCGATGAAGAAGTTGCTGGCCTCGGGTGCGAAGACTCGAGGCCCACACCACCTGCGTATGGGATATGGAGGGAAAGCGTCCGAGTTGATCCCGATCGCCTGTTCTGGCAACGCAATGCCGACGTCGACAGCACGAGCACTGAGAGGCCAGAAACGCGGGCGAGTCGACGGCCACCATCGTACTCTTCTGACGACGGAGTGTCGTACGTGGTTGACGCTGTTCCACGCTCCACTACAACATCGTCAATGTCTGCGGTGCCGGCAAGTCAATCTGACCCTGGTCCGTCAGACGGGCAACGACCGATGCGATGATCTCACATTCGTGGAGAACAGCCGTGTCTTCTGCAGTGCACTAACAGGGACGGATGAAAATGAAATTGCGCTGGTGATGGCGGCTTCGCGCAAAGTAGCACAAACCGCTGCTGGATCTTGTTACAGACTCACAGACGGCTTCCCTCGATCTTCAACTCTGCTGTGGATTGAACTCGAAAGAACTCCGTCGACATCTTGCTCGGGTGCAATCAGGGTGCAATCAAGCAGCGAGGCAGCCTTGTCCACCAATGTCTCCGTGCCGAGATCGAGGGGTTAGCAGACACCTCCGTGGTTATAAGTTGAAGGAAGTATCCGTGTTATTGTTTAGTGAGCAACAGTTGCGAATATTAATGTGTATCTGCCCCCGACTCTCGTCATCTGGTGCAATGTCCTCTGCGCGTTTGGAGGACAAACTAGCCCCTCGACAATTCACATCACCCGTCGATTCACAACGTCAACTCCCCCAAGATCGTCCGTCAAACCTGCCAACAGTCAAATAGGAAAATGGCTAGGATAATGCTCTCCGGCTGTCGAGATAGTTCAATTGTGCGTACTGGGGCCGGTTGAGGTCCTGCTACTACCAGGTATTTAGCCTAGGGTCGTCTGCGTTAGCCCGCCTGACTGCCAGACAGTCTGACAATCAGACACATCGGAACCCGCGAAAATGGAAAGCAGGTGCGCCCATTGACAGCGCGGGCCAGGGTCCAGTCGCCTGCTTCACTCCACTCCACCCTCCACGACCTCCACCCACAAGGGCCGCGCCCACCAACGAAGGAGGGCAGAACTACAGATTGAGGGCAGCTGGTTCCCCTTCCGCTCGAGCAGTTCCTCTCGCGAAAATTTTTCCCTTTCTCCTCTTCGACTCTTCGAGCTCAGGTCTTCCAACCCGACAATATCTTTACCTTCGATACGCGATCGCCGCCGAGACCAGTTGCTGGAAATTGCTGCGCGACGAAACGCCCTGAAACCAGGTACGTCCACGACCGTCGACCTGGTGCGGTCTGCGCTGCGCTTTGCGGTCGACCCCATTGTTACCCACGAGCCCCTCGAAGCCACAGCGACGGCTAGTTACCGATTGCAAAATTGTCCGCTCCCTCGAGTCTCTGCGCCATGTCTGCCCGGTAGTTCTAGATTGCCCGCGGGCAGGAACTGGTCGAACCCTGGTCACGAATGGGAGTTTTCGACTCTAGATCCAATTTCGTCGCGTGCGACGTAGAGGTTGTGCGATGCCGATTCGGCAGCGCGCATGGCAAATTCCCATACCCGTCGGAATCACTTCTCACGTGGGATTCTTTGGGTTCGGCCCACGAGCGATGCGACTTTTGACTGGCACGCATCGCCACTATGGCCGATTGCAAATATGTCTCAGCAACAATTGTTTCTGGTCTTGTCGCAGTCTTGGCGCAACAAGCGCAACCCTCGGCATCTGGACACCGATTATCATATCAGAGAGTTTGCGGAAGACCTGAATATCGTCACGATATACTAGTAGCTCGCAAGACCGAAAGCACCGAAAGCACCGAAAGCACCGAGGCAGATGGGCAGAGACTCGCGGACAACGAAACCGGCGCGACAAACGAGCTAGTGACATGCAGGCAGCTAGATGAACTAACAATTGTTGCAGATCGCTATATATTGCATCATGTCTTCTCTTTCTCGACGTGCTTGCTACAAATGTGGCAACGTTGGCCATTACGCCGAGGTCTGCTCCTCCGCTGAGCGCCTATGCTACAACTGCAAGCAGCCTGGTACGTTCGGCGAAGCGAGCAGGTGCATGGGCGTAGACTAACATCCCATGCTAGGCCACGAATCCAACGGCTGCCCTCTGCCTCGCTCTACGGAGGCCAAGCAGTGCTACCACTGCCAGGGTCTTGGTCACGTCCAGGCTGACTGCCCCACCCTTCGGTTGAGTGGCACTGGTACCAGCGGACGTTGCTATAACTGTGGCCAGCCCGGCCATCTCGCTGTACGTTCACTTGCAACCTTCGTAGACCCAGTCACCAGGCTAATCGACCGTGCCAGCGTGCCTGCCCTAACCCCGTTGGCCCCATGGGCCGCGGTGCCCCAATGGGTCGTGGTGGTTTCGGTGGCTTCGGCCGTGGTGGTTTCGCTGGCGGTCCTCGCCCTGCTACCTGCTACAAGTGCGGCGGCCCCAACCACTTCGCCCGCGACTGCCAGGCTCAAGCCATGAAGTGCTACGCTTGCGGCAAGCTGGGCCACATCTCCCGCGACTGCACTGCTCCCAACGGTGGACCTCTGAACACTGCCGGCAAGACTTGCTACCAGTGTGGCGAGGCTGGCCACATCTCCCGTGACTGCCCTCAGAAGGCTGCGGCAGCCGCTGGCGAAGTCAAGCCCGAGGTCGACGTCAACGCCGTGGCGGCCGCACCAGTCGCCCCCATTGCTCCTATTGCCCCTGTGGCCTAGACGGCTACAGAACTGCCGCAGCCCTTGCGAATATTTATGGACATCACGACAAGGGCGGGTTCATGTGGCATAGCTGAGGCTAGATGGCCACCGACTGCATGATGTCCACTTGCCTTTTCCCACGTTGCAATGCGGCAATCATCATTCACTTTATGCCTGGACACGACTTCTTCGCATACGTCTCTACGAAATAACATTTCTTGCCTTTGAATTCTTCTGAAACCTATTACATACTTACGGTCCGATACGTTTTCCCTCATGATTCTGGGGATCCCTCAGCGGCGTACACGATTCAATTGATTTACATCTACGATATACTTTCTGGTGGTTTTGGCCCACCTGGCAAGCATCCTGCACTCGGAGCGCCCGCTGGCGGACCCGCAGGGTGCTCGTGCTACAGTTTAAAAAAAAAACAAGGCTTTGGATCACGCGTTGGCATGGTTTCCTGCGAAGCAGGAGACAGGCGATGGCGATGGATATACCCGCAAGACAACGACATGCTGCGAGACGATGGAGAGACTAAGGGGGCTGCTGTGGACGCGCGCGGAGAGAGAGAGCCGCGAGGCTTGATCGACGGTAATCGCGTAGCTCGAGGAGACTCCTACCACGTTCGAGCGAGGGGATGGAATACGGAGGATTTTGGATTTGGGGCATAAGGAACGACCAAACGAACGAACGAACCGCTCGGCCGATGGAACAGTGTGGAGCTCGTGGGGAGGGATTCTTAGATGAACGAATGCAAACAGCTCAAAATTACCTGCCTTTGCATGTGTTGGAAAAAAAAAAAAGGCCCACCGTACCAAGCAAGCAGTACTTAGTGAGGCACTCTAGTAGACACGAGCATGGGCGGACGCGGCAGCATGCACAAGTGGACGACATGCGCAGAGTGTCAGAAAAGGGTCCGAAAAGGAAAGTGCATTCGAAATTACCGCTTCGCTGGACTGCCTCGCTCAAGCTCTGCTTCTTGGGTCCCGTGCGCACTTTATCTTTTCCATCAAACAACCGCGCCCCGTAGCCATGGTCTTCTCGCCGCTCAATTTTCGGTCTTGTCGAAGCTTGGAGGGCCAGTATCGTCTCACCTTGGCGTTCCGACTTGACAATTTAGTTGCGAGGATCACCTTTTCCGCAGCTAAACTCATGTCATTATCGGGAACAAATGGTCTCAAAAGGCTGCACTCTCCTGAAGTATTGTATAAACAGGGTGACGATGATCTCGAGAGCATAGAGCCTCTTTCGGACCAGGTCGAAAAGCCCTTTGATAAACCAACCAACAGCCACCAAGAAAAAGAACGCACTCAATTGTCATCAAGCCAAGATAAAGGGCCAGATGAGAATTGGATCCTCAACAGAATCCCTCAGAATATTGTCTCAGTCTGGTCCTACAAAAGGGGAATAAGGTGCAGGCCATACATGAAGTCAACTCGCCAGTTCTTCTCATTCGTACCAACTACAGCATATTCTAAAAACCATACAACCATCCCTCGCGCGAACTTAGCCTCTTGTAGCTCGTACCTGATTTTGGATGCACCCTATCACTGAATTCAACTTCACTCCTGGCAGCCTTGGTTTTCCCCTTGCGCTCAGCTTCTTCAAAGAAGTAGTGGTTTGCACTTGGTGCATACGCCACTCTCCAAGGGATGACTAGGCTCTCGCCGCCGGGCCCACCACCACAAGTGCCTTTGAGTGCCTCGCTTGGCGGAGAATTGACGGCCAGTGCAAAGAGATTCTGAGGCTCGGTGAAGTCTGTGACGAGTCCGGAGCGCGTGACGAAATAGCCCAAGCAGAACAGGTTGATCACAAAGACCAGAGAGAGAATAACATAGAAGATGGCTTGCCAGTCATTGGCATGCCCAGATGTGTATTGCTGTGTGCGAATTGAGGCGTTAAAGGCCTGGCGAACACCAAGATCGAGTATGTTTGGGTTATGTTCCCAATAGTGCACAAAGGGTGAATCGATCGCTCCAGAGACGAGGGTTGATGAAGCGTAGACCGCAAGCGCCTCTGCCATGGAAGGAAGCATTTTTGGTAGAGAAGGGTCTTGTAAAGCAAGTTGCGTGATGATGCGTGCGTTCGAGGCATTGTTGTTGTAGACGCCCCCGTTTAGGTCCATGGAAAGCCGCCACGCATCGGCGAGCCATTTCCAGTCTTTCGAGGGTCCACCCCATGCCGGGTACCCATTGTCAAAGGATTGTATAAAGCTGTCTCTGTCATTTGCGTCTTCGCAATGGGCGGTAATGCGAGCTCCCGCCGTGCCTGAAATGTCGAAGCGAGTTGAGCAATTGGGCGATGTCCATGAGTTCAGTTCGCAGAGAGTAAAGTCAGTGAGTGCGGGAGATTTGGCCAAAATGTATATTGATGACGAGTTGTAGACGCTCGAATTCGTGATCATGTTGTAGTTGGAAGGTAGCTACACATCTGAAGTCAGTGGGTGGTGCACACGGCGGTCAGGGGTAGGTGCCCGTACCATTGGGAACACGGGAGGATATCGATAGTACTGTTGTCCCCAGCGAAACACATCATCTACAGCCGTACTGTTCAGAAATGAGTCGTCAATGATAGCGTCATTATCCTCGTTTTCGTATGGAACGCTCGGGATGGTGGACTCCCAGCCCGCTGCGGCGCCCTTCTGGTCCCCAACACCTGTGTCATCTGTCTCTGCATTGAGCCACTCCGTGTACACAAGGGGCGCCAGCTCATCGCGGTTCATGTTCACGCACATGACGTTGATGCTGGGACTCACCACCCCAGCTCGAATCATGTACTCGCCTACACCGGCCAGATCATCGGGCTGGAGGATACTGTTGGCCTCATCGGTCGCAGCAGCGTACACACCCGGATGCGGCATGGCCATCGTGACATTGTTAATCACTCTGTCCCACGTGGCAAAGTTGGCTTCCATGCTTGAATGTTCCGTCTCGATCCAGGTGGCTTCCATTGTGGTATTATCAAACAGAAGCGTCGTTCCTGCAGGCCGATCCTTCAGGTCCGTCATGCCGCCGGTACCATTCTCGCTGATCTCTGTCCATACCGACATGTACTTCAGGAGGTTCCGATAACTAGCACCCGAGTAAAGGACGTTGGAGCACGACGCGGCCGCGTGGGGTTCGTCTTGCGCATTCAGCAGAGAGGGACATTCTTTTGCGACATATTGAGGGTTGGCGTAGGAAGTGCGAACAAGGCCAGTCAGCTCTTTGCTTTCCCAGCCTCCATACTTCAGTTTGGGTGCCACCATGGCGTCCGATGCAGTCGTGTAGAATGTCGCGGCCACCGTTGCCGTCAGTGTCATTGCTCCCAGAATGCTGAAGCCGGCAGTGGGTACAGCTTCGGCATGAGTGATCAAGCTGCCAGGTTGGATTACCCAGTTGCGCATCGTCATTTCACCGAGTGTCATGCCATTTGCCCCCCGTAAAATGCTCCTGCGAGTCAAGACTTGCCCTAGACAGGATATGAACACTGTCACAAAACTCATTTCAATCGTTTTGCTGGCAAGTGCCGCTAGAGTTGTTGCTGTCGATGGTAACAGACCCTGTCGTGACGAGATCTGATGGCCCCATCGAGGTTGGACAATAGAGACAATGAGCCAGATACCGGAGAGTATAGTAGAGTAGATGCTCAAAAAGAAAATTGTGAAGGAAAGCCAATTTGTTCTTTTCACGTGGATATCGCCTGACGAAGAGCAGTACAGCGGCGGTTTCCCTGCAATCATAAGTATTCAGATTCGCTCATTGCCTGACGAATGATGAGACGATCACCATACTAGGAACATACCAAAACCCTTGTGAAAGATTTCATCGTCGAATTCGTCCGCCTCTGGACGCCCGTTGCTTGTATGATGAGCATGTCCATCCTCGGGGATGCTCCTGGCGGGCATTGCTTGGAACTTGGGCTTGTTGTCTTGGTGTGGATCGCCTTGTTCTGCTACAGTTGGGGATTCGCTATACCATGAGGATTGATGATTTACCGGATGCGAGTTGAAAGGTTTGCTAAACGAGTGCGGTGTCGAGTTGGTGGAGGAGAGACCTTGGGCCGAGCGGGGTGTGTTTGGCGAAGTACTTTTTGAGCCCACGGGCACGCGTTGTATCTTCCAAGGAACACCTGTGATGCCCAATCCTTCCCTATCTGAGTCGTCACAAGCTGTCTCCCATTGTTGTACTCCCCCCGGTCGCATTCTGTAGGTCATCATCTCCTGGCTGCCATCCGAGGCCATGCGATGGTATCCATGGCGGCGAAAGATGTTTGTGGGCGAGAATTCTTTGACGGGACTGCGTTGTGAAGAATCAGGCGAGACACCATCTTCATTGATCTCAACCACAGGGTGTAGTGGGCGGTCGGCCATGGTGAACTGCCCTCCACCGAGGCGAGTATTGTATAATAGAGCCAGATCAAAGACGTGTGTCCAACTCGCACGCAAAAGAAACAGATATATCTGAATTTGAAGAGGGTCCAAGGTTAGAAGACACTTCGACTTTCAATATCTCTGAAGGATTACACGAATGACGCTGTAATCGCTCCTGGGAGGGCCATGTTTGCATCAACTGTGCTTGTCCTCGGGAGGTGGGACACACAGACGACAAGAGGCTCAGCCTTCAGCTCTATTTAGAGGGGGGGGAAATAACATGCCGCAGGGCTGGGCTAAGCCTCCTTGAAATTCTCTCAAAAATAGACACTGAGCGCAGTGATAACGGTCTCCGACCATGACCCATGCTTGTGCCGCGCACGTTCAATGGCGGACCGTGCATACTGCACATGCACAAGGCGACCAACATGCATCACAACGAGGCTCTGGGGCAGCTCCGCAACAAGGAACACCCTTTGGCAATTAAAAAGGCCCCGACCGATGCGAATTGTGTAGGGGCGTGTCGAATTCGAACCAGTCGAAGGGCGTCGTCGTAAACCCGCATTCCCTGAGCATCAACAACACAATATCTCTTTTTAGTGACGTGAATTTGAGCTTTCGATTATTTGTGAAACAAAAAGCCGCGGGAATTGCACTCACCTTAAGTAAGTACACAGGCTGATGATGATCTATCTATTCAAGTTAAGTTAACAGACTACTTAGGTTAGGAGCTCGAAGCGGGGACAAGATGCAGCCCCCAACAACAAGCAGCAGAGTAATAATTCAGGGGCCTCCCCTTGACCGCTGGCTGTCTGTAAATATCGAGGACATGATGCTGATTGGTGTGACTAGCGAACTTGTCATATTTCCTATCGACACAAGCAATGATCAAGTCCTGGAAATCACATCTATCGTTGTTCATGAACCGTCAACATCCAGGCCAGATCACAGCCAATTAGGTATCATATCTTGTCTTTAGTTCAAGTCATCACGGCTGTTGGCCTCCGCTGACTCTGGCTCGCGGCCCCCCTCCCCCGTCTTGATAGCGTGTACTTGGCAAACGCCCTCGCCAGCGCTTTCTTGCAGCTCACCTTCTGGCTGCCCACAAAGCTGTCAACGGTAACTGCAATTGCACGGTCGATGTCGGCAGTAGAGACACTATCTGATAGACGCATCTTTGCAAAAGCTTCGCTGATGCGGATAATGGCTTCGAGATGACGAACCTTGTATTCATTAGCACTGCAACTGAACAAGAAATGTTTACTACAACGTACCGTGATGGGGTAGGCGCCTGTTGCGAGCGATTCGCGCCTCATGTTGGCGAACAGCGATGCAATCTTGTCTTCGTCCACCTGGAAGAACTTGGGGTGGCAGTTCTCTCGAGCATGCTTGATATACTTGCGCAGTAGCTCCTGCGGGATCTCTCCAGTCGCCCTGGCTGAGGACGCTTGCGTCTCAGTTGGCTGCGACTCATCGCCGCCGTCGGTCGATTCTTGGTTTGGCTGCGCTTGGGGATGGCTGCGCGAGTGGGAGCCAACAATGAACCGCGCTAGACGCTCATCTTCAGATGGCTCCACTGTATCGCGTACGACGCACAGTACATCGAAACGTGACAGAATAGGCTCCGTGAGCTCTACGTTGGCTGAGAATGGAATGGTCGAGTTGTAGCGCCCGCCGATAGGATTGGCAGCAGCGATGATCCCACACCGGGCCTGCAGTGTTGTGACAATACCAGCCTTGGAGACAGAGATAGTCTGCTGCTCCATTGCCTCATGGATAGAAGTCCGATCTTGGTCATTCATCTTGTCGAATTCGTCGATGAGACATGTACCGCGGTCAGCAAGCACCAGCGCACCGCCTTCAAGCGTCCATTCGCTAGTCATGGGATCGCGGCGTACAGATGCTGTCAGACCGACAGCACTGGCGCCTTGACCTGTAGCAAAGACGGCGCGATGGGCTGTCTTCTCGACATATTTCAGAACCTGCGACTTGGCGGTACCGGGATCGCCTAGTAGCAGCACATTTATGTCGCCACGAACATGGTGGCCACCCTTTGTGGTCTTTGGCACGCCACCAAACAGTGACAAAGCAACAGCAGTCTTGACGTCAGTGTGTCCGTAGATACTCGGCGCAACCGATTCGATGACTCTGTCGATAATGTTTGGGTCGCTCTTCAGCTTGGCAATCTCCTTCTCGTCTTCTTGTGTCATGCGGAAACCCGCAAGTTGATCATGAGACTTGACCACATTGTTGGCTTCAAGGATGGTTGCAAACACTGGGAAGCCGTTGCGGTTGTTTAGCTGGGCATCGTAGTTGTTGCGGTAAATACCAGTGACCTCGATTTCCTCGCCCGGTTTTGCACTGTCAATGAGGTCCCACAGCAAGATCACCTCGCGCGTGCGTGGTAAGCGGCCGGCCGGCACGGTGCCAGGAGACTCCTGCAGAGTGAGCTTCTGGTAGTTGCGGTATACCGTCTTCTCCGAGTTAACCGTAAAAGGCCCGCGAGACTGGCAGTTCTGACAGAATGAGATTCTGACCTCCACATTCGACTCCTGCTGGAAGGGACCCAAGGTAGCTCCGCACTTTGTGCAGTCGAATTTGACGTATTGTAGCTGGGGAAACACCCCAGAACGACGAGTGACGACACCGCTGACCCTCACCAAGCAATTCAGGTGAGATTGACGGAGCTGTCGTAAAGTGTAATGAACCGGCAGATCGTAGATGCGAACGTGTACTTGAGAGTGGATACGTTCGTAGGACGGGTAATAGATGAGGACGACTTCCATGGCGACTTCATCAAGCAACTTGATCATCTCTGCCGGTGCGTTGGCCAAGAAGAAAGCCAGAGTGGCCTTGGAGTCGGTCAAGTGTTCGTAAGACACTTCGAGCGTCTCAGCGTTGATTTCACCCAGAGTCTTGGCGCGGTTCCCGTACACTGACTGGCCCGACTCGTCTGTATATTCGGTCAGGAAAAGCTTGAACTCGCGCTTGATCGTCCTCTGCACGGCAGGCTGCGCTACCCATTCAGTAATGTTGGGTGCTTTGATGTCGCTCAGTGCTTCTAAAGTGAGTTCCTCCTCCATAATATCTTGATCCATAGCGTCGTCTTGGTCTTCGTCATAATGGTGGCGGCGACGTCGTGGCTGCGCTGTGAGGTCCATCATATCACCATCGTCTTCATCCCCAGGTAAAAAGGCTCCAGGCTCTCTCTGCCGACGAGCAACCTCGCGATCTTGCCTGTTCATCCTCGCTTCCAGTTGCCGCCTCTCGGCGGCGTCCATAGCGCCATATTGCGCATCATCAATGTCGATGTCCTCGTAGTGGTCATCTTCCCGATTCTGATAGTCACCTTCGAAACCCTCGCGAAACAGGTCAACATCATCATCTGCCATTTCGTCGACGTCGTCAATGTCGTCTTGAATTTCGGGCTGGTCGTCTTCCAACACATCGTCCTCAGCGTCATCACCACCTTGGGCAATGCTGAAGCCAGCAGGCGGCGAGGATGGCAAGGGACTCGAGCCGTAGCCAACGGATGAGCCATCGCCCTCATCTCTCGCACGTGAGCGTTTTCGACTCGCAGAGGGACGCGCGCCGCGATTCCCTGAGGAAGGGTGATCCCGCAGGGGAGAGCTACTATTGTTAGCGATTGAGGGGTTAGGTAGATTGTACTTGGGACGTACCTCATGCTGGATTCGTGTGTTGTTGAAAGAAAAGTTTATGCGAAAAGTATGTGTACAGACCGCTCGAATCAATTCTTCGCGGTAGGCCCTGCTGATGCGAGGTCCGCAGGTCAAAGGGTGAAGCTGCATTGAAGTGCAGTGAGCCGTCGGCAGGGAAACTGGAGATCATTTCGTTCGTGTCGCGTCTTAACGCGTCAAAGCGCGTAAAGTAGCTGGGCTACTCCTTTTTAGGACAGAGCGCGTAAAGTGGCTGCAGAAAGGGTGAAAAGAATACTGCGCCGGCAACGGCCAACCGCAGCCTGGTATCACAGCATTTATTTTGTCACTTAGCCACAACTACTGTACGTACGTGACGTGGCTCGCGTCAACTTGCCCAGACCTTCTTCACCCCTCGACAGCTCGGGTTTGCGATTCGAATTCGGATCCATTTTTTGTCCTTAAGATTGTTCACCGATACACTGAGCAGGAGATCATGGCGAACGACTCCGCTGCTCCGATGCAACAAGAAACTTCAACGGCACAGCGCGGCAATAGCTTCTCGGCGCAGTCGGACAAATCGAGTGCCTCACAAACAGCAGCAGAGTATGATTGAGAGCTCGCTACTCATCACGCTTAGGCTGACAGCACAGTTTTATTCGCGATCAAGAAGCCCTCGAGGCAGACGCCCGCGAGGCGCTTCCATATGTTCGTTCGCCCGCTGCTGTCCTATCATCTCCGTCATGAGTAACACATGTAGAGCATAAACACATGTACCAAGATACTGGGACCCTTACGCCAGAACGTCTTCGCCTGCCTCACATGTAGCCCGCCGCCCGCATCCGCCGCTCAACAATGGACGCCTGCTGGCGTGTGCTACGCCTGTTCCGTTCAATGCCATGGTGAGCACACTTTGGTCGAGATTTTTCAGAAGCGCAACTTCACATGCGATTGCGGAACGCCGCGACTTCCCTCCACCAGCCCTTGCACCTTGAGAACAAACAGCGAGACGAACACGAAAGGAGATGTCCACGGAGAAGAGCCAGACGCCAACAACAGATACAATCAGAACTTCAAGAACCGATTTTGTGGCTGCGAATGCGATTATGATCCATTTGAGCAGAAGGGGACAATGTTTCAGTGTATGGGTCTAGGGTCCGTTGAGACGGGCGGGTGCGGTGAAGATTGGTATCACCCAGGGTGTCTCGTAGGCATGGGTCCCAGATGGTTCGAGATGGTGAAACCGGAGAAGCCCGCCATTCAACAGGTGGGTGACACACTGGCAACTATTGCAGAACAGAATGAACAATCGCTGGAGAGCCACCCAGCCAAGAACGAGGCAGCCGTGGCGGACGAGGATGATGATCCTCCTATGCCCCCTGGATTTCCGGGTGAGGATGACTTTGAAGGTTTCATCTGCTACAAGTGTATTGAATCCCAACCATGGATCAAGCCATATGCTGGAACATCTGGCTTCTTGCCGGCTGTAATGTTGAACCACAACGAGGATACCACGTCTGCCAATACCACATCGAGGAAACGCAAGACGGAAAACGATGTGGAGGATCAGAGCGACGTCAAGCGCGTCAAGACTGAAGGACAGCATAGGGAACGGGCAGAAGAAGAGACCCCTACAGTGGCTGACTCTGGGCCTGAAGCAGCCCCTCCATCTGATTGCAAGCTACCCAACTTGTCAATACCACCGCCGGGCCGGTTTTCCCTGTTTTTTAAAGAGGACTTCCGGGACAAATTCTGCCGTTGCTCCAGCTGCTACAAACACCTGGACAGCAACCCCCAACTCATGGAAGAAGAAGAGACCTATGAGCCGCCCCTTTCTGATGACGGCGCATCGCAGCACGCCGGGTCAACGCACGGCAGTGGAAGTCTACTCGAACGTGGCGAGAGCGCATTGCGCAACGTTGATCGCGTCCGCGCCATTGAGGGAGTCATGGCGTACAATCATCTCAAAGAGCAACTGAAGCCCTTTTTCCAACAATTCGCCGAGACCGGGCAGGCAATTGGTGCTGAAGACATCAAGGCATACTTTGCTAAGCTCCGTGGCGATGAAGAGGACATCAAGGAGGCAGGCGAGGCAGCTGCCAGTGATGGCCATGGTTCGCATAAGCGTGAGCAAGGCGGATGTTGATCTGGACACACAAAGTTCGTGGCTGCGTCAAATGTAACATGTGTTGTATTCGCAAATGCGAGAGGAATCGATTGTAGCTGGGTATCTGTAGTCTATCATTAAATCATGTCCTGGCATCATCTGGTCTCTCCCGATGACCCTGTGCTCGACGCGGCGCTCAGTGGCCTTGGTGGAAGCACGGGTGGCGCCAGCGGATTGCTCGAGGTATCTCTCTGCATCGCGACTCCACCCAAAGGCTGGAACGGCTGATTGACTTGCGGCAAACCTCCATCGTCACTGTCGTCCGCTCTTTCGACCGCCAGGAGCTGTTCCTGCAGCCGAATTTGCTGGATCCGCAGCCTCTCCTTCTCGGCGGGATCGATGATATCGTCATCTCCGCTCCAGTAGGTATCGTCGTCTTCCAGTTCCGGCATGGCCATCCTTTTCCAGAATCGTAACTCTTGCCTCGTCGCAACGCTGCCGACTCTCCTTTCCCATCGATGTTCGTCCTCCTCGTATTGCCGCCTGAACGTGCGCAAGCTTTCGTTTGCACTCTTGGCATGACTTTGCATCTCCCAGATCTGCTCCCTAAGCTTGCTGTTCTCCCTCCGTGCCTCATCGAGTTGCGATCGATACGATCGATGCCAAGCTGTCACATCCGCCAAATGCTTCGCTTTGTACTCGTGAAAGGACTTTAACAGCAGCGCAAGGGTTGACGCATATTGAGAGAGGAGGGCTGCATTGGCGTCGCGCGAGTTGCGAGCTTTCTCGAGCGATTCGGATAGGAGAGATATTAGCGCATCCAAGTTCTCGACCTGGCCTTTGTCTTGTTAGCACGTCGCCGAGTACGTCGACACTATGGGGAGTGGTCCTCACCATTGATGTCGTCCGCAGAGGCTTCGATGACTTGGTCATTGTTCAGGCCTTGCTGCCTCGCCCTTGCCCTGACCCTGCCGAGACCGTTGACGATGTCCTCCGTCACGCGACGATTGTCTGCCAATTGGCGGCTCAGCTCTTCCACCATGCCATAGATGTAGTTCAGCTCGGCCTGATGACCTGCCGGCGTGGGACCTGGAAGGCCATTGGGGGCCATGCCGTTCATGCCGTTCATGGCCATGTGCTGCTGTTGCTGCTGTACTTGAGGTTGGTAGTGCTGTTGCTGGCGAAGAGGCTGCTGCTGTTGCTGCTGAGAGGGTGATTGTGGATGTGGCAGTTCGTTAAAACTCATGGTCATTATCGACTAGCGATCAGCGCGTTGTCGAACGGCGATAGTACTGGGGGAGGATTCGTGTGTTGCTGCTACCTATGATTGCTGTGTTTGAAGTGCAGACGTGACGACGATGGGCTCCTGAGTCCTGGCCTAGTTTCTGAAATGTGGGGCGTTGCAGGCACAGATGATTGATCTGGGGGAAACAACTAATTAATTACCAGGCAACTAAGCTAGGTGCCTACTATCCTACCTCGGGTATATGAAGGGCAGCAAACTTACTAATTGAACTCATCGCAAACCCGGCGTTGCGGAAGTAGTAGGTTTTTCGGATTATGACCAGCCAGTCAATTGATCGATGTGCTCGCAATAAATGCTTCGCATGTTCGGTCACTAACGTAGATTCCCAGCAATTCTCACGAGAACGCCAGTGGGATGGTATTACGTAGAGGTTGATTCAACCCGGCGTTAAACAACCAAGAGTCCCTGCAGTAATGGGATATAGCATACAAGAGCAACTAAATTGAAGCCAACAAGAGAAAAACAACATAAAATTCTTCTGGTTAAAAGAAGACCCCCCGAAGTATGGCATATACGATGTTTTTCTCATCGCGCCCTCGTCAGCGTTGTTTCATAAATGGGCAGATACAGGGTAGGTAGCACGTGATCGAGAGCACGATGGAGTCACTACGCCAGCGTAATAATTGCCCCTTTCTTATTCTCGTCTCTGAATGCATACCCTGGCCGGATCGATCACCGATCAGCAGGATATTGCGATACATTACGTACCAGGACTGTCCTCTCCTTCGGCATGCCAGGGATTTTCCCCCCTCAGTTTCCCCACGCCTGGTCCTACAGTCTCGCCAAGGGCCACCTGCCGGGCCGACGAGGTTGAAATGAGCTCGCTTGAGTCTTGTTGACCCAATGATCTCCAGAGCTAGACATTTTTCGCAAAGCACAGTACCTCCACAACCGTCGTCCGGTGACCTTTACATATTGTCACAACCACACAGCCCCGGCTGTCGGACGCAGTCCGTTTAATGCCTCGGATTTCTCGAGCCGAAGCAACGATTGCTCTGTGAAAACACCGTCGAAAGGGGTGATCATGTAGCCTCACACTGAACACTACGCGTCTGTCGACCAGGGGATCATGCGGCTCATACTCCTACGGCCGCAGGAGTCCTGCCTGCTCGAAACGCACATATCCGAGGTCTATTCTACAACTTGCGCGTGAGCGGAGTGCCCACCACTGGCCAACTACATGTAGTCAGGGGTATGCAAGCTTAATTACCATATTCTCGGCGTCATGTCGCTCCAACCATACACTCCCTTGCTAATTTTGCGCCAATACACCGGATCAAGGTTTCTTGCAGCCGTACGGTCCGCGGATGTTCTACACCTTCGTCGACGCCCCAGAAACATTTCGGCCGTCTTGGCCACCGAATGTAACCCTATACGTACATCGACGTGGTAGGACAGCATCGAGTGGGTAGCCGCGGTGGAGTGCATGCTCGCAAGCGCCTCGCGTGCGTCCGCACCTTGACTGGCCATCTCGTCCTTGTTTACTTCTTTCTCCGCATACATGAGCATGACGGGCATCAGTACAGTCCCGGGTGTTCTGCCCGGTCCGGAGGGACTTTGGGGTAGGACCTGCCGGCGGTGGGTCTAGTTGCAAAAGGTCTAGCTGACCAGCGAGTGGCCGCCGATGCATGATGTGTGCATGGAAAAGCGAGCATAAGGACTTGTCCATGTGGTGGACCATGAGAGTCGATGCCTGGAACGTCGAGACGCTGGTGCCAGAGACATATAAAGGGTCGCTTCCTACCCCGTCTAGCTTACTTGAGGTACTCTCCATACAGCTTCCACTGCAATGGCTCCCTGGAAGCAACTTTCCCTCGTCGCAGGACTAGCTTCGGCTGCTGCTATCAGTAAGCGCCAAGAGGAGCTCGCCCAATACCCGGACTATGGCCTGCTGGCCGACTGCCCTGGCTACGCAGCTAGCAATGTGAAGATTAGCGACAATGGGATCAAGGCTGATCTCAGTCTGGCCGGAGAAGCTTGCAATGCGTACGGTGAAGATCTCAAAGATCTAACCTTGGAGGTTACTTACGAAAGTGGTGCGTTGTGCTCTGCCATGTTCATCGGCTCAACTAACTTCGTGTAGCCGACCGCATTCATTTGAAGATTCAGGACAAGGGGAACCAGGTATACCAAGTGCCCGAGTCAGTGTTTCCTCGACCAGACTCAAATGGCACCTCTGCGGACGACAATGCCCTCAAGTTCGATATCGTCGAGGAGCCATTCTCCTTCACGATCAGCCGCAAGGACAACGACGAGGTTCTTTTCGATACGTCGGCAGCATCCCTCATCTTCGAGTCACAGTATCTACGCCTGCGCACGCGTCTACCCGAAGATCCCAGTCTGTATGGATTGGGAGAGCACTCCGACTCGCTACGGTTGCCCACCAAAGACTACATCCGCACAATGTGGAACCAGGACAGCTACGCGATCCCAGAGAACGCCAACTTGTATGGTACTCAGCCTTTCTATCTCGAGCACCGCGAGACCGGCTCCCATGGTGTCTTCTTGCTCAACTCCAATGGCATGGACGTTATGATCAACAGTGACGAAGACGGTCAATATCTTGAGTACAACAGCATTGGCGGCGTTTTTGACTTTTGGTTCTTTGCTGGGTCGAACCCGTCAGATGTGACAAAACAGTATGCTCAAGTGGCTGGACTGCCAACTTTCCAACCTTGTAAGTCCTTGCGCGGCTCTGTTTATTCTGCCCCGAGGCTAACACAGGTACAACAGACTGGGGTCTCGGCTTCCACCAATGCCGCTACGGATACCGAGACGCTTTTGAAGTCGCCGAGGTTGTCTACAATTACTCCAAGGCCGAGATCCCCCTCGAAACTATGTGGACCGACATAGATTACATGGATCATCGGCTCATCTTCACCAGTGACCCAGAGCGTTTCCCCATGGAGAAGCTGCGCGCTCTTGTGTCCCATCTCCACGACAATGACCAGCATTACATCGTCATGGTCGACCCAGCTCTTGGTTACCAGGATAACTATCCTTCCTTAGACCGGGCAATCGAGGACAATGTCTTGCTGTTGCGTCAGAATGGCTCCGCTTTCTTGGGCGTCGTCTGGCCAGGTGTCACAGTATTTCCTGATTGGTTCGCCGAGAACGTCACCGAGTACTGGAACACTGAATTCTCAATCTTCTTCGACGCTGACGAGGGCGTGGACATTGACGGCCTATGGATCGATATGAACGAACCGTCGTCGTTCCCCTGCTACTTCCCATGCGTAAGCTCTCCACCCCATTACTCCATTAGCTGAACATGGTGCTGACGAGACCAGAGCGATCCTTATGGCTCCGCAGTCGGATTCCCTCCTCAGCCTCCGCCTGTTCGAGAGAACCCAAGGTCACTCCCAGGCTTTCCTTGTGAGTTCCAGCTACCTGGCGAGGGTGGCTGCGACAGTTCAGTATCCGAGCGTGACCTGATATCCCGTCCCGGTGGTCACTTCAACGTTGAGCGCGCGGAAAGCAAGTTGTTCTTCCCTAAGAAACGTCAGAGCGAGACTGGCGACCAGTGTGGCCTGGACGGCCGCGACTACCTTTACCCGGAGTACTCTATCCATAACCATGCCGCGTACCGCTTGGATTGGAACGCTGACAAGGGCGGCCTCTCCAACAAAACTGTCCTCACAGACGTCGTCTCTCAGAACGGACTGGTGCAATACGACACGCACAACCTCTACGGCGCCCAGATGAGTACCGCGTCCTACGACGCTATGCTCGCCCGCCGCCCCAACAAGAGGCCCCTGATCATCACACGATCTACCTTCTCCGGTGCTGGCGCCAAAGTCGGTCACTGGCTGGGCGACAACATGTCAATCTGGGAACACTACCGCATCAGCATTCGAACCGCCCTCGCCTATACATCCCTCTTCCAGTTCCCCATGACAGGGTCCGACACCTGCGGTTTTGGTGGTGATGTTAGCGAGCAGCTTTGCGCTCGTTGGGCCAGTCTGGGAGCCTTCGGTACCTTTTTCCGCAATCACAACGAGTTGGGCGCCGCCTCCCAAGAGTTTTACCGCTGGGATTCAGTCGCCAACTCGGCCAGGAAGGCCATCGAGATCCGTTATCGCCTGCTAGACTACATGTACACTGCCTTTGCCAAAGCCTCGGATGATGGATCTCCGTCAGTGGTGCCCTTCCTCTTTTACTACCCCGAAGACAAGGCGACATGGGCTCTTGAGCTGCAATACTTTTACGGCCCTGGTATCCTTGTCCTCCCGGTCACGGAGGAGGATGCCACGAGCGTCGACGTCTACTTGCCCAAGGACAAGTACTACGACTGGTACACGCATGAGGCTGTTGAGGGCAAGGGAGAGACTCATACATTTTCTGACGTTGATATCACGCATATCCCTCTTCTCATCCGTTCGGGTGTCATTCTCCCTCTCCGCGAGTCTTCCGCAATGACTCTTACGGCTTTGCGCCAGTTGGACTTTGAGATTATGATCCCGCTTGATGCAGAGGGTAGCGCCAAGGGTGAGCTCTACCTCGACGATGGCGAGTCTCTCGACCCCGAGGACAACGGCGGTGTGAGCTGGATCACCTTCGAGTACTCCAATGGAGAACTTGTCATTGACGGTGAGTTTGGTCGCGAAGCTATGTTTGGCGTTTCTAAGGTCACCATCTTGGGCGGCGATGGGTGCAAGGTGAAGGAAAACAAAGATGGCAAGTTCAGCCGCTCAAAGAGGGTGGGCATTAGCCTGAACAAGGCAAGCAGGACCGTCCTTGAGGATAAGAGCAAGAAGTTGAGGCCTTAAGGGCTTCCTCTTGAGAACAGGGTATATAGCTGCATGTGGCAATCTATAGCAGCACATAGAAATCGCGATTGTTGAATACCTATTGACAGCCGTGCTACTGTTCATTGTGATCAGCTACAGCGGCGACAGGAAGTCTCCCCAGAAATTGTGCCTTCGAGACTGCTCAAGCCCTTGTTCTGTGGCTATGGAATCGCCAAAGCAATGCATGATTATATGAGCTGATACGTGCATTGCACCTCTACATTCCATTGGTATCAAACTGCCACCCGCTTGACTATAGAGCCGTGTGTACTATATCTTTCATCCATCGTAAGATCATTATTAACCACCGACGAAATAACAGCGCTTGGTATCAACAGGCGGAAATCATCTTTATATCGCTGCTCCATCCATAACGCCGCGGGCCTGGACATAGGCCTCGTTGAGATCTAGAAATCACACATTGTCGTCTAGCGTCGGTACGTAGGCTTCTGTGCCATGTTGACAGGCGGAGGTGCCTCATCATAAATTGGGTATGGAGGATCCTGCTTTGGCACGGGACGTCGGCCATTTTGCTGGTGGTCAGGTAGCGGCGTCTTTGGGGGCAAAGGAGGTGGTTCCATGCGCTGGTGGGAAAAGGCACTCATTGGGTGAGGCTGAGAAGGCCTCGGGTGCTCGTCTGGACTCATGATGGCGATTTTGTCGGCGCCCGACGCGGTGTGGTACTGACCTGGCGTCGGTGCTGTCACAACAAACTTGTCATTGTCTTCGTTACGGAAACTGGGTTTTTCGTGTTCTGGAGGCGGCGGAGGAGGTCTTTGTCCCAAGGGGGGGGGTGAGGAAGCCGAAAGATGAGAACGGTGGGAGTCCTGATTGTCATAGGAAGACCGAGGTGAATGTGGATGCGCAGAAGCCAGATAAACACTATCGATCCCAGAGTCAAAAGACTGACGGCTCGCGGCCGGGCTGCGTGGAGGTAATGTCAACGGATTTGTTGGCATGTCTCCAGGTAGTTCGAATGCCGCTGGTGGAGATTCCCACGTCATGGACGGGGGCCTCCTGATGCGAGGAACCTCTGGGTGCAGAAGAGCTCGCTCCCAGCGAATTCTGGCCTTCAGGATCTTTGCGAGTTTCGAGCTAATGCCTTGGACCATGCGCTGCTCATCAGGCTTGCCCATGTATCTCCTGGTTCCAGTGCTGATCTCTCCTAGCCTGTGCCACTCATTCATTCCAAATTCGCCGACTCCAATCTCAACATTGAGGCGGTAGTAGTTGTCGATGTTGACGTTGCGCTTGCCGAGATGCTCCTTCATCATGTATTCGTGTATCGTCTCACAGCCCTCGATTTTTGCTATCAGCCGGCGGCGAGCTTCAGCAAATTCTCCCAAGAACCCTTCATACCACTGCTCTTGGCTTGCGCCACTGCTTTTTGGTCTCCTTCCAGTGCCGACTGACACAAAGCAGCCTATCTCTCTTCCGGGCCATTCATTGATAACCGCTTCGTCGAGTGCTTCTGGCGCAGGGTTGAAAGTTCCGGTACCGTCATCGTGAAAGATCGATTGCCCTATCTGAACAGGCTTGAATGCGAGACCTATAGCGCAGGTCGCACGGCCAGCTTGCCAGATTTTGCAGTCGAACTCGGGCGCTGGCTCCTTGCGCGAATCGTAAGAGCGAAGCATGGCAGGCGGGGCGCCTCGAGGTGAGCCCTTGTACACCGCAGTTACAACTCTAACACGCTATTAGTATTGGTGTTTGTTGAGCCGTTCATGAACCTACGTTTTAGTCCTGCTGTCGCGAGCATCGTAGAGCCTCGCATTGGCGTCGCCATGTGACGAGTTCCTCCACACCGGCTCCTGCATCTGCGCTGCGGGACTCCTCGCACTGAAGCTCACAGTGCTGGCGTTACTCGTATGCCGCCTCGGACCACCCGCAGCACTCGAACGAGACGTTGCACTCAGTGGGTTGGACAGCGTAGGCTCAAGGCCGTCGTTGCCCTCCTTTTCGTAAACTGTATGTTCCCGGATACACGCCCGAATCGCCTCTTCGAGTTTGCTGGCCTTGAACAGTGTTGAACGGTACGGAATTCCTGCAATCGTTTTGTCCGTTTGGAAGACCATGCGCGTGAGGCGCACGTACAGCTCCTTACATGTCTCGAGGTCGAGTCGCAACCGGCCGAGCATTAGCGCGATGAGACCGCCTGTCCCTGTTCCGACAATAAGATCGAAATGGTCGCATGGTTTCGGGATCTCGTGTCTTCGTGGCGCGCGCCCTTCTATTTCGACAAAGGTCCTGTGCATCAGTTCCTGAATGATGATGAGCATCGAGTACCCGCGAACGCCACCACCGTCTATTCACAGGGTCAGCAGGTCGGCAAAATGGGACCAGACATTGGGCCATACCTAAGGAAAGCACGCGCAAAGGGGGGCCCTTTGTGGTGTCTCTCCTCTTGACGCCATAAGAGTCTTCCATGCTGGTATGCTCAGCAGGTGGACTGAGGGGCGCGAAGGTCCAGCTTTGATGGTCTAGTGCGGCTGTTGACCTGCTTGTGGGCTTCGCAGGGAGAGTAACGGCTGTGTTTTGACAGCTGATGCGTAGGCGAGGCTTGTCGAATGCGATATTTGGAGGAAGGAGAGGATTACGAGAGCCGCTGTCGACTGATTGGAAGCCTCTGGAGTTCTCGATGGCGAGAATCTGCCTTTGCATTTGCCTTGGGCATCCCTGTGGGGTGGCAGCGTGGCAACGCTGCAGGGGACACTCGGGGTACCAAAATAAAGTCGAGGACCTGACGTCCGCGTACGCACAGACGGATCTACGGACTGAGTACGGAATTCTGAAATGGCACAGCCCCCAGTGACGAAACGGGTGCCTCTGCGCAGGCGCCAAACCTCACCACCAACTAGTTAGGTACAGGACCTATTATGGCAGGTTGGGATGCAACCTCGTCACTGCCAGCAGCGGATACCTCTAGGCGCTTTGTCTGTTATTTTACTTAGCTTGGCTGACCCACTTCTTTGTCTCATGACCTGATCTGACATAGTCTTGGCATGATCGATTCGAGGCTGTGCTACGTACTGTAGTAGGCCTCGTCATGGTTGGTCTGGCGCCTGTGGGAAGCAGCGGGCCCCGCGCTTGATGACAGACATGGATTGTGATGTCCGACTCCCACTGTTTGGATACGAGTCTTCTTTTTGAGCGTACCTTGCGTTAGCCGGTTTGTGATCGCGGTTGCCAGCCGGGGCACAAGGTGTGGTTCGGGTAAAGTTCGAGGAATCAGGGTCCCCGGCAATGGTCGCCGATAGGTGGAGGTCTTGTAGAGTTGTTCACGACAGCGGTGCCCATCGCCGTGGATGCTTGAATCATGACCAGGTGCAAGCAATCCGGCCTACCCTGAAGCTTGGTGCAGCATGTCGAATGACCCATCATTGGGGCAACTACTTGTAGTTAGACTGAGTAAAACACGCATATGGTGTTTTCAACATCATGAGTGACGAACGCTGGATATCAACACGACCTACGTTACTCACGTATGTAGGTGGCTAGCATGTGCGTGATGGCTGGCTCGGTACGGGCGAAATCTCGTGTTCATGGCCTGGAGTTCCGCAAAGATGTTGTTTGATGCCTGAGCCGTGGTTTTGTTCAGTCGTCCCGAAAGAATTTCGCGAGCCCTGATTGACGGAGGCCATGTGAGCCCTGCCAGTCCGACGTCGTGGCAGAACGTGCCTTCTCCGCACAATGCCGCACCAGAAAGAGGCCCTCGGTCAGCAAGAAGAATACGTGTGGCGCCCGTTGTCGTGGTCAGGTGTGGGCGGTCAGGACATACCCTATGTACGGAGTATGTATGCGTAGTAGTGAGCGGGGCGAATGCTGCACTAATCGTGATGTGCGATAGGAAAGCCTGGTAATAATGTGTGGTAGTAGTATTTTATTAATTAGTCGTCCGCCGTCGCGCTGTAACACTGACAACAGCCTTCGACCATACTAGGTAGATTTGTGAGATTGGTATTTCCTATTTTTAAACAGCCTTACCTGCGACGGCATCCGCAAGCACCCAGCGCTGATAAACTTAAAAGACAAAATATAGTATCGACGCGGACAAGTATGCGCTGGCACGTGGACGACAAGTCCAGACACGGCAGGACGGTGTGCCGTCTGCGATACTGAGTGACGGGAAGCGATGGAACCTTGCAGCCTCAGCCTCAGTTTGAGGCCAGCCGTGCTCGATATTTAGTTCAAAGGAGAGTTAACGAACTCGACGGAAAGCAGTGCTGAATTACAGATTTAGACAGTGATGACACGGAAGGGTTGAAGCAGTAGCAAGACATCTATGCGAGGTCGTCCTGTAAGTGATGCATGGTTGCTGACCTTGATTCGATGAGCACCCTATCGATGGAGAAGCACACAGACATCGTCCAAGAAATGGTGAGTTGGCATGTCTGTGCCCCGCCCTCCGATTCGACACCTACTAATTAGCTTCTGCCAGCGTTCACTCGCAGTGGCAGCCACGCACCTTCCTGTTTGCTGGGCTGGCAAAGCATTTCCCCTCCATTCAAGGCCAATCACGATTCGGAACCAGGGCGCAAGCTGTTCTTGAGGGCCAATCGCAAATGACAGCCTCGCCCGCTCCTGCCCGCCGTGCCATCCAGGCACGGCTTCTACCATTTTGTGCAACGGCAGGCAGCCAGTCTTGAGCCGGGGAGGGCAGCAGGCAAGAAGGCGGGCGAAACTGCAGTCGAGCCTTATTTTACGACCTGACCACCACCACCTTTGGGTCATCGTTCGTCTCGGGTGGCTGCCAGCACGCCTACTCATCAGCCCTGATCCCTTCCTGTTCACCTCGCCGAATACACGAATCATTCCCGCAATTCACATTTATCTTCAATTAATGTCTCCTCGGCGGCGCCAAGCTATATTTCTCTCGAATATTTCTATTTTGCAATCCTTCCGATCTCGTCTCCCCCGCCTGGCTGTCCATGGAACCAGCCACTAAGAAACGAAAGCTGGCTCCCAAGGTCACAACATCCGTCGAATCCAGACCTCAAATTTCACAGCATCACCACGACCCTCCTGTGAGTTGGCGGTGATTCGATAGCCCTTGTAGATGCTGTACTGCCATTGACCGCAATGCTGATTCCAATTGCGCTTAGCCGCACTATCCGGTACCGGAACCACTCCTGGAACACCATGCCTTCGAATCTTTCGCCCGACATCTCCAGGATGCTGCCATGCTCATCCAACGCCAGACCGAGCGGCCACCATATAGAGAGGTTTCTGTGCTCCTCCTGAAGTGGGATGACGACAACTCCTCCGACGAAGAGACCACCGTGCTCGAAAGTGTACTGCGCAACACGTACCATTATCATACCCAGCGATGGGAGATACCGTCCTGCCCAAACCCCAGCATCAAGCTTGGTGTGCAAATTGCGTCTTTCCTGGAAAACCCGCGACCGGATCATCTGCTGATTATACATTACGCTGGGCATGGCTTTGTCGGACAGGATGGGCAGTTTTACTGGGCGAGCAGCGAGCGAGACGACTCGTCAAAGCTCAAGTGGGATGGAGTCCGATGCTTGTTTGAAGATGCGCAATCTGACATGCTTCTACTTCTTGACACAAGTGCAATTCCAAATTCGGGCACATCAGGCTCCCACGGTGTCAAACAAGCCATTTCCGCAAATATGAACAAGCAGGAAGCACGCCAGACTAAGCTGCTGTCGCTTACCGCAGCAGCAGGGGAATCGCTGCGCAACCTCAGCAACGCTCAAAGCTTCACCGCCCGCCAGCTGTACGACGAAATTGTAAGACTACAACAGCGTCACTTACAACAAGACAGATCATCATCAGTGCCGACCGCGTCCCCGATTGAGCCTCGATTCTCGGTCTTCTTGCCCATCACACCTGGCGAAGACCAAGCTTTGAAAATCGCGCCGATTCTGCCGCAGTCACTCAACAACGGTCACTCCATTCAAGCACCGGCGGAGTTGCCACCTACTAAGCAACATATTCAGCCAGAAGACGTTGCTAAGATACGGTTTGACGAACAGAGGGTCCTTGTTTGCACGACCTTTGTAGGAGACGCCAGCCCGGACATGTCCTCATTCCACAAGTGGCTGCAGACACCTCCACTGATGGGAGAAAAGATCTCGGTTGAAGGCATGTTTCTGGGCCCGCCCCTGATGCTCCTGATCTCGATGCCCCACGCAGTCTGGAATATTGTGCAGCATGATAAGGTCTGCTGCTTCCTTGGGTATATTTCCACACACAACATGCTCCACCTGTATGGCAAGCTTATTGGGCCTACCTCGCATCTCGAAAGCTCGGCGCACGCGTCGGAAAACTGGCACCCGCATTATGAGGCTAGGAAGTCGGCTGTCGAGGCACTAGCCCGTACCACTGAACACGAGCGTTGTCCGTCCAAAGAACAACCCTTGCTTCAGATGGGGAGGAGCGCTGGCCTTGCGTCACTGAAGCCAAAGGAAGAGCATGAGGGCACGGCCGAAATGCGAGAGGCTGCAGAGCAGCTCAAAGCTCTCAGTCATGTGGGACACTTGAGTGATGAATCTACCCCAACGTCAGCGCGGCCACGCACCAGCTTGCCCAATGGCTCTGCTCAGTCAGACCAGTCTTTTCGCGAGGGGGACGAAAGGTCACCTAGCAAACTGGACTCGCCTACGAGCAGGGTCAAGGTACCTCGGCACGCATTGCCGAAACACGAAACTGTGTGCAACCACTGCAGTCATGCTCCATTTCGAGACTCCTCATCACTCAGGAAGCACATTGCTGCCGCACACACGCGGCCTTTTCCGTGCGCCTTTTCCTTTGCAGGATGCAACAGTACATTTGGGTCGAAGAATGAGTGGAAGCGTCACATCACCTCACAACATCTATGCCTGCAATACTATCGATGCTCGGCCTGTCCCAACAGCAGTGTGGAAGGGAAGGGGAGCGAGTTCAACAGGAAGGACCTGTTCACACAGCATCTTCGGCGCATGCACGCACCATTCCAGGTCAAAAGGCCGCCATCCAAGGTCGATAACAAGATCGAGATTGACTGGGAAGTGCGAGTGAAGCAGATGCAGGAATCGTGCTTGGTACAGCGGCGCCATCCTCCTCAGAAGGGAGCCTGCCCCAAGCTCGGATGTTCCAACATGTTCGAGGGTCATACTGCCTGGGATGAATGGACAGAGCATGTCGGACGGCATATGGAGAAGGGGGAGGCGGGCGGAATCGGTGTCGATCAAAACCTGATTGACTGGGCTTTGCAGGAGAAAATAATTGCTTCGAAAGGCGAGGGCGAATACCGACTTTGCTACCATGGAGCCAGCGCAGCGAATGGCGCAAGCAACGAAAACAGCTCACCAGTTGCTGCCGTGAAAAAGGATGAGAAAACAGGGTACAAAGACAAAGATTCAGAAAAAAACATGGAGAAGGAAACAGAGTCCCTTTCGGCGTCAACGACAACGTCCATGGCGTTGTCGCAACCTGCTCCGACTGCAGGGACATCGCAAACTGAACTGGACGCATCCCCGAGGGGCGTCAAAGCCAACTCGCCCACTGACGGCGACGTTGATATGGTTGCGGTTTAGCGACGAGGCCGGCGAATGTGTTATTTTCCTTTGTCGTTGACGACGCCATGACGATGATTTACGTACAATGATAACGACTATTTACGATACGACAGACTTTTGCGAGGGCCTCTCGGCTACTGGAAGCAGGATTGCGGGATTTCATGCGTGGTGTTGGATGCTTTCATAATCATGATACTCGCTGGGCACCTTTTGTCACTGTGTTCCCGTTAGGATCATGGCGATTTGTTAAATGAGTGCAGTATCCATTAATGACTTATCCACTAGGTAATTCTAGTAGAATACAAGACCATCTGAGTGCTGATCAATGTTGATACGAGTGGACAATTGAGTTCTTTTGCTCGACTGTTCACCCCGCACCTACACTTGTGTGTGCCACGGCTCTCGACGATCCCCTGATAACCAGGTAAGTAGCCGACTTGATGTCCTTGTCCGCAAGTTATATCCTACAACGCAGGGGTGAGTGGGAAGGGAGCTGGGGTATGCAACAATCCACCTCGGAAGAACACTTATATCATACATGTGCATGGCGTGTCCGGGACTCTCACAATGCTCTATTTTTACACTCGTTTTACTTCACAGGAGATGATAGCGAATGGATTCGCGCCACGGGCGCGCTTGAGGGGACGACGGTGCGTGTCGCGAGCATTCACGACATCATCGGCACGATGGAGTACCGCCTACGACAGCACGATACCAAACTTGCGGATCGGCAAGGACACCAAAGTTATCTTCCAGGGGTTTACGGGAAAAGCGGTACGTATTCATGTCCAGCGTTCGGATCAGTTACTGACCATGTGTTGTCCCCGTAGGCTACTGCGAATGCCAAAGACACCATTGCTTACGGCACCAGCATTGTTGGCGGGGTGTCGCCTGGCAAGGGCGGGCAGACGCATCTTGACAGACCTGTCTTTGATTCTGTGCGTGAGGCTGTTTTGGCCGTCAATCCTGACGTGAGTGCGGTCTTTGTGCCAGCCGCCTTCGCTGCCGCCGCCATTATCGAGTCCATCGAGGCAGAGATGCCGCTCGTGGTCTCGGTAGCAGAACACATTCCCGTCCACGACATGCTGCGCGTGCAAGAGGTGCTGAGAACGCAGACCAAGACGAGGTTGGTTGGGCCCAATTGCCCCGGGATCATCGCACCGGAGCAATGTCGAGTCGGAATCATGCCGTACAAACAGTATAGGCGAGGCTGTGTAGGGATCGTGAGCAAGAGTGGCACGCTGAGCTACGAGGCTGTCGGTGCGACGACCAAAATCGGCCTGGGCCAGAGTCTGGTCATGGGCATGGGGGGCGACATGCTCCCCGGAACGACGCTTGTCGACGGCTTGAGGACGTTCTTTGACCACGAAGAGACCAAGGGTATCATTGTCATTGGCGAGATCGGAGGCGACGCGGAGCTCAAGGCTGCGGCTCTGATTAGAGAATACCGTCGCTCGACTGCGAACCCGAAACCCATCATCGCCATGGTCGCTGGGCGCATGGCGCCTCCTGGGAAGATAATGGGCCACGCTGGTGCGATTCTTCAGGCCACCGAGGTATCGGCCGAGGACAAGGCACGAGCTTTGGCTGATGCAGGCGCCGTGGTCGTGCCGCATCCAGGAGTTATGGGCGTCAAGATGGAGCAGCTCTTAAGGGCCCAATGATGGATAGATGGTAGTGTCTGGAGCGAGTTGCTCTGTTTATCTTGGTAACCATCTCTTGTAACTTACACCGCCATATCCACTGATCACGAGAAGCAAGCGTCTGCATTTTAACGGTGCCATGGTAATGGGAGCTAATTTACTTTTGAAGTATTTTCCCACAGTGCTTGGCTATACATTGACATGACATGGATAAATGAAAAGCCTGAAGACCAACTTCATATCCTCAATCATTCGGGCCGTCTTGCCCAGGCCACCGGCCCACGATGACATATTCCTTGCCTTCTTGAAGCCATTCGATTCAGACTCCCTACTGGCCCTCCACAGACCGTTCATCCCCTTATAAATAGGACCGCTCCCGTCTTGATCTCGTACTGTATGTTTTTGTGAAGCGGCTATGTCCTCTTATTTGGCTCCAAGGCCATACTTCGCAAGACTGTTCTGATCTCCTCCAACCACATCAGGCACCTCTCTGAGCCTCTTGGCAACTCTGGCGGGTGATCCAACGTCCACCGAGAAGGGCGGGATATCCCTCGTGACGACACTTGCTGTGCCGACGGTACAGCCCTTACCAGTCGTGACGCCAGGAAGGATCGTCGCGCCGCCGCCTGCGAAGCAGTCACTCCCAATGTTGATCTGTTTAGCCAAGGCGATGCACTAGCGACGGGCCTCCACGTCCGTCTCGTGGGTGACACTGAAGATGCGTACGCCTGGGCCAAACATGACTCGATCTCCGATGCGGACGACGGAGCAGTCTAGGATGGTCAAGCTCATTGAAGATTAGCGCACATACTTCTCGAACTTCAATCAATGTCTTTGAACCACGGCCGATAGTCTCGACGTAACCGAAATTGTTCTAGAAGCGATCCCCAATGAAAATGTTGATTCCATAGTCGATCTGTAATGGCGGCTCCATGAAACAGTCTTGTCCAATCTTGCCAAACATTTTCGACAGCATGTCACGCCGCGCTTCGAACAACTTCTCGGGGGCCGCATCGTGCGGGAAATAGTTGTTGTAATTCCGAGCCAGTCTCCGGGCATCATCAAGTGGTTTGCAGAAGCAGTTGTGTCTGATTTCCCCCAGACAGTGAGCGTTCATGTTGGGGTTTCGCGGGGGAGAAATTCACGGTATGCCCGATATCATCCTTTCATATTCATCCACCGCAGCGTGTTCGGGTTGTTCACTCCCTGAACATACCTGATGAGATTGTGATCTAACTCTGTTGTAGCCATTGCATTCATTTGCAGTATAGGTCTGTCCGTCCTGGTACTTAAAGACAAAGTTACAGAATGTGATGTTGTAGATCTGATTGCGGAGTGTTTTCCTTGATTTTGTCAAACTTCTATGCAAAGATGAGGAAGAGACATCTACATCAAAGTGGGAGCCTCCACGAAACATGCAACGCCTGGCTGTGTACATGTACCATGCAACTGGCTTACAGATTGAAAGAAGCGCACATTGTCATCAAATGCCATGAGAATTGGGATGAGTCTAATATGGTGTAGCGGCCGATGCTAGAACCTTCAAGTGTTTGGCTTGAACGCAATGTACATGTAAGCGACATGCATATGCGCGTGGATGACACCGCGCTGTACGATTCGTGAGAACAAGAGATCGTCACTTCTGGCCGTGACAAGACAGTGTGGGCTTTATCAAGACCCATCTGAGGTTGCACTTGTTCTCTCTGCGGGGAGCCAATCTGGGTACGCACGATGACAAGGTCTTTCAGCGGTGCTGTGCGAAAACGTCTTGGTATCTTCAACCGAGGCTCACGTTGAGAAAACTCCCTGAGCATCAGTCCGCTCAATATACGTGATGTGATGTCCACGCTATACGCTATGGACATGCGCCAGACAGCTGTACGGCCTTTTCAGCTGCTGCGCCAAAGTCCGCCTCAACATGCAGACCCAAATTGGCTTCTTCGAGCTGTGTGCACAGTGAGTCCTGGTTTCATGAATTTCGTGTGAGCTGGACATCATGTACTCACCAGCTTGAGCCCCTGGGCAGAGTTGGTTCCCTGGAGTCGGATGACGAGAGGCACTCGCAACGGACCTAGCTCTGCTGCTGCGCCGATGATGGACTCTGCGATCATGGCACAGTTGGTGATACCTAGCACATCCAAGATCAGCTCTTGTGCCGTTGTACATGGCAATGTGATGTGCAATCCCAACACACATGGAGCACGTACCGCCATAGACGTTCACCAGGATCGTGTTTACCCGCTTGTCCCCGAGGACAATGTCAAACGCTCGCACCATAGTCTCCTTGGTGGCCTGGCCGCCCGCATCGAGGAAATTTGCGCTCTTGCCCCCGTACAGGCCAATGGCATCATTCGTCGCCATGGCGAGCCCAGCTCCGTTGACGACATTGCCAATGTTGCCGTCCATCTTGACGTATACCAGTCCGTGCTTCTCAGCTTCTATCTCCTCCGGAACCGCCTGTGCCTTGTCGCGCAGCGCGAAGAGCTCCGGTTGTCGTTTCGCCGCTGCGTCGTCGAAAGTGAAACTGGCGCTGACGCACGTCAGAGATTCGTCGGGTAACCGAGCCAAGGGGTTGATTTCGAGATGCGTGGCATCTTTCTGCACAAAGATCTGATGCATTCCCTGGAGGATTGCTTCCATATTGGCCGCCTCGACGGTCGTGAGGCGTACTTGCGCAACGATTTGTGACATAAGATCGGCCGAGATACCGTCCGAATTCTTGAAATGAAATTGAGAGAGTGTCTCGGGTCGATCTCGCGCAATGGAGCTCAGGCTCACGCCACCAAACTTGGAGACAGTTATGCACGGGGTATAGTGCTCGCGATCAACGCTGAGGGATAGATACCATTGCCCAGTTGCCCCCACTGGCCGCGAGATGTGCAGCTTGTCAACAATGACGCCCTCGTCAAAGGTGTCTTCTGTCTTCAGCTTGTGGCTGATCATCTTGCTTGCGATGTCTCGCCCCTGTTCTGGGTTCCGAACTGACTGAATGCCCCCTCGCAAGCCGGAGGAAAAGAGCCCATCAGCGCGACCTGCCCGGGACACCTGCGATTTGAGGACTGCATCGCCACCTGACTTCGTCAGCATTTGGCTCACACCTTGTATTGGACCGCTCAACCAAGTCTGTCAATCGCAGATTCCGCTTCGGCAGGCGTGGCGGCTACGCTAGACGGACAAACGGGGACATTGTACTGATAGCTGTGAGCCGTGTGCGAGCCAGTGCCATTCAGGACCGCCGTACTAGTCGTAAAAGCTCATGACATTGGTGCTCATGTAGTGTGAGCCACCGCAGCTGTTGTTTCGGAGCGAGCTGGGGTGGTCAGCGGACGCAAGGCGCAAGGGTCAGGCGTCAGAGTCCAAGCAAACCTGGGGTATGCATCTACGCAGAACGCTGGGCGTCCTGCGGCATATCATGTTTGATATCCTTCTGTTGACTATTTCCTTCCGTGGCGAGGACGGGATAACTAATCAAGCAGTCAAAGGCCAGCCAGCCACTAATTATGGCGGGGGAAGGGCTGACTCGGTTATATGCCCGCGCAGCATGTAGGCTATTGATCCACGTAAGGTATATGCACGGCCTGGACGACGACGCAATGGGTCGCAGTATAAGCAGCAGCACGTACGTTAAACATCGAAGTCAAATGAATATGTATAACGGCGATATGTACGTAGTAGATCACACGCCTTTGTGACCTGTAACGACTCATGTGTCCCGTTCTGATCATCCCGTCCGCTGCTCATCTCACATGGGACGCGGAGAATGCTCGAACCCAAGCTTGGCTGATCTGTGAGTACGCGATGGAGGGTACTGTCTGGTATTTGTCGGTTGCAAAATTACTCTGCAGAGCTTGCGCGTCCACTGATGGAGATTCGAAAAAGACCACAACAGGCTGCAAGACAGAATTGGCCCTTCGGTTTGCCAACAACTACAAACCGACATGGACCGGGCCTTTGCAGTTTTGGCCACTGCCGCACAACCCTCGACGTTTGTGATGGTCACATGGCTGCCGCGTCCTGTTGGCGATCCGGATTCCGGCCCCCTGACGTCTCCAGAGTCCAGACTCTAGTCGAGCGCAAGCCAGCCCAGTGCACCGGATCTTGGGGGCGCTTTCCAGCTCTCTGGATTATGGTTGTTGGTCCCAGCTGATGTGACTTGCAGATCACCATCGTACATGGTGCATTGAACTTGAAAGTCGCAAACCAACAAGCTCCAGCGGTCCAGTGACTCACTTCAGTCCAGTCGTCAGCGGAGTCGAGGATTGCCGTCGCTCGGCCCATTCATGACTCCCCACACCTCATTATGCACTTGGACACGTCAGGGCAAGGGCTCCGGTTCAGCCCAGGGATTGCCGCCGTATTGTAGCCACTGAACTGGCTTCCTCGTGTCGAAAGTTCCTCCGGATGGACAGGGAACAGGGAAAAAGCCTTGAAATTTGTTCGTGCGACCGTGCGTCCCTCGAAAATTTATGCCCCCTTCCTTAACCTTATTGGGAAAGTTGCAGTCGACCCCTCGACGGGAAATGCGACCTGTCGGCGATTGTCAGGGCTGACCGGGGCCGCCGGCGTCAAATAAGGTAATTAATCTACATGCGTGCGGCTCGCCTTCTGCCTGAGCTGTGTCGCGAGTCATTGAAGCGAAGACTGGAATTCGACAGACAGAGAGGCACTTCCTCATACTCAATGTTTGATGTTTGAGAGCCCCGATGGATCATGTTGTCGCCACTGGAGCTTTGCGGCTGTCGCTAGACACTTCCTCTCCGGCAGCTGACTCGAAGACACGCATAAGAACAAGCTTCCTTCTTATGAATGTCACCGACAAGCGGAGCGCGGTCTGCGGCGCGTCTTCGTCCGTTCCCCTAGCGCATCCCGCAAGCCTCCCGACTGGAGCCTGGAGTCCCAAGCTCAAGTACGGAGCTAAGGCTTGTTGATTAACCAGTACGACTTACGAGCCTCGGAACACTCTGCAAATCTGGTCTGGCACTAATGCACGCTAGCGAGCCGCGAGCGAAGGTTCTAAATCCTTCGTGGAGCCCCTTGGCTTCAATGTTCTGTGGAGCAGCCGCGCCTATTGGAATTTGGAGGACATGTCATGGTATGGTTCAGCTGCCGTATACGTATCTTGCGCATGCGGCATGCCTGTAATTGTTGGTCGCGCCTGGTCCGAATTGTGCGATCCTGCACCCCGTAACGTGTGTATGTACCAGGTATAATCCTACCGGTAGACTGGACGCACGCTTCAGGGGGTCCTGTCCCAGTCCTTTGGCACGATCCGACAGCTGCACGCCAACTGCCGGTGATGATTTGACCTGACGGAGGATCAAAAACGTGAACTCTTGGGAGGAGCGGCACGGCCTCAATTCAGACAACACAAGGTAGTTGGCATTGAATGGCCAAGGCCGCATCACTACATCAATGTAACATGCGCCATCGGTCAACCCAATTCCATCGCGGCCAGGCCATAAGTTCCAGGACTCCATTCGCGGCCGCTGCCCCCTGAACGATGGATCAGACTAGGGGACTATCCGGCCCCTTTCGAGCAATCAGCCGTTGACCCCCAGCGGCGGCATGGACAGGCCGAGCAGTTGAGACGAAAGTGTCTGAGTGTCTATCCGTGACGTCCCCGCGCGGCCGTGCCCGTGCGTGACCCCCTGGAGGGGAGGCTTGTTGAGCGAGCCAGCCCTCAGCCCAAGCCCCAGGCCTCCGGCCCCCCGGCAAAAACGAGCTGAGCCCTGGGATCGAGTTTGAGGATCAGCCGCCAGCAGCTCGGTCCTGTCGTGTGCGTCGGGCACAACCACAGTTACTTACAACTTATCACACCACCCTCCCTCCCTCCTCCATGTCGCCCCAGAAAGGGTGACCCGTCCTTTTCTACGTACAGTTGTAAATACTATAATTCTTACGGCTCCCCCCTGCCTGCCCTCCGCGCCTCTTCTCCGCTCCGCAAGCCATCCTCAACACCGGACGACGATCACCATGGACTTCCCCGTGTGGAATGGCACGACTGTGTTCAGGCTGCCGCCAAATGGCACCGAGACCACTTACGTCGTCGACTTCGACAACCCCCAGCAGCAGAAGGTCTTGGACCACTACCTGGTGTTTGGCATAGGCGGGTCTCTGGCATTCATCGCGCTGCTGCAGCGATACTACACAAAGATGTTCCTGTCCAAGGGACTGCAGATGGACGACTTGTTCATGCTGCTGGGATGGGTACGCGACATTGGACACCGGGCGCACAGAAAAGGCGACTAACAAGCCCAGATGGCGTCTGTTGTGACACAAGCATACCTCGTGCAGTCGATATCCGTCGGCGGCATGTGCGCGCACTCTTGGGAGATGCCACTGGAGAGGTTCAAGGCATATTCACTGGTGAGGCCCCTCTTCCAGTCAGACACAACAGACAGTACTTGACATTGGCTCTGACAACATATCTGCCCAGACGACCTATATCACGGCTCCGGTCTTCATGCTCTGCAACGGCTTCACGAAGCTGTCGCTGCTGACATTCTATCTTCACCTCTCGCCCCAGAAATGGTTTCGAATATCAGTCTGGACCAGCATCGTCATCGTCGGCCTCTACACGTCCATCATCACCCTGATCATGTTCTTCCAATGCAGCCCACCACGCCAGGCGTATCAGCTCGGCCACGTCGAACGCAATTGCATCAACGCCGGTGTGCTGTACATGGCAACCGCCGTGTCCAACATTGTGACGGACGTGATCCTGTTCATTCTGCCGATTCCTATGGTCATCCAGCTTCATATGCCGGTGCAACAGAAGATTGGCGCTGTCGTCATCTTCGCCATTGGCTCAGTGTACGTCAAAACACCATCAGACACATTGTCAACGAAAGTGGCTAACATGGCGGGAACAGCACCGTCGCTACATCAATTGTCCGCCTGACTTATCTGCCTCCTGTACTCAAAAGCACCGATCCCTCCTGGGATGCTGCGCCTGCCAATGTTTGGACGTATGTTCCCTCCCCCATTGACACCAGTGGCAAGCCCCAGCTGACGTGTCCCCTCCCAGTTTCGTGGAAGCCAACCTCTTTGTCATTTGCGGCTCCATGCCAACCCTCCGAAAGTTCTTCAAGCACGTGGCGCCGCGCTTCATGGGCGGATCCTCCAACCAGTCATACCCCTATCCCAACAGCTACGCTCCCAACCGATCTGCCGGCAACGCCATCTCTCGCACGCGCAAGACGCGCGGACAGTACACCAACTTTGACGACGAGAACGAGATGCAGACATTCCAGGACCCGGACTCGGCAAGCCAGGATGGCAGTGCCGGGAAAGGCGTGGGCGCAGCCACCGTGACCGTCGATGCATCGAACAGCAACGAGGGTGACTCGCATAGCGAAAAGGCTATTTTGCAGACGACGACGTACACGGTGCAGTACGAAGAAAGGGGACCCAAGTCATGATATTGCAACGACCACAAGACTCGACGGGGGTAGGTGTATATAGAACAAGACGTATCTACAAGCAACCACATAGTAATCAAGCGCCGCACAAATCGCGGGAATAAACAATTGCACATATGTCATATCTTGCACCAGTCTCTCAGCCATCGACTTGGGCTTTCATACATATCGTCCCATCACTCTTCCCCACTACAATCTCATGACCGGCCTCGCCTTCACTCCGTTTCGACGTGATTTGATATCGTTCCCCTGCGTACAATGGCGACATTGCTCTGTACGTGATGCCAGCCGGGCTACTGCCATGCACGTCACGCCAATAGTCCAGCATACTGATCAGATTGAGGGGCCCGTGGACCACAAGGCCAGCATGTCCCTCGACTCGCCGTGTCCAGTCCTCATTGTAGTGGATCTTGTGTGCGTTGAACGTCAGCGCCGAGAATCTGAATAGTGCCACCGGTGACCATTGTACATGGCGCACGATGCCATTGCCTGCATACACTGTTATTGACACTGTCCCTGAGGCGATACCCAAATAGCTAGCTCAGGTCACTCACCATCGGCCTTGATATCCTCAGAGGCACTCGGGGCCCGGTCATCAACGTCTAGCGCTTTCAATTTGGCCGGCACCAGCGTCTCGTCAATCTCAGGGCGAAAGACCCAAGACCGCCTGTCGCGCAACGCCCGTCCTCTGCTCCCGACAAACTCCTTCTCCACCTCCACAACGACCATCTCGCCCCCTGAGCGACTCTTTTTGGGTGTCGCGCTGACGAGGCGGGTGATCTCGGTGACCTCATCGCCCACGCGCAAGTCAGCGTCGGCATCCCAGCTCATGGTGCCGCCCGCCCACATCCTCCGCGTGAATGGCCCCGACGCATTGAACGTCTTATCGGTGCCGTCGCGCCCAAGGGAGCTCTCGGCCTCCGTGGGTGTAAAGTAGACGACATGGTACCCAGGGGGGATCGGCGTGCCATTGGCAGGCGTGACGTCGTTGCCTGTCGGGCGGTGGAGCGTGACGAGCAGCTTCTGGAGCTGGTTCCCGTCGAGGAGCTGTCTGCACTCAAACGTTTGGTTGCCGCCAAAGTCGGCCATAAGGCGGTCGGCTGCCTCATGCGCTGTGAGGAGGCCGTGACGGCAAGAGCTCTTGAAACCGCGACCCGCCTGGACTGTCGAGGACGACGCCCTCGCTGCGCATCGCAGCGGCAGCAGCCTCATGGTGCACGCTTACTGGCGGTTCCGAGAAGATTTCATGAGTGTCGAGGGCCCCGGTGTGGCATTGAAGGGAGGGCTCATGGTTGTAGGTCCTCTTGTTCATGTTGACTGTGGTGGCTATGTGCTGTCAAGTTATAGTCAATTCGAGTAGGGTAAGGGTATGGGATCGAACCCAATTACCGAAGAAGCCGTAGACACCGACGGCACAACTTATATGCTCTAGGGTAAGTATGTTGAACGGTCGAAGACACCGTGTACATAGTCAAATATGCGAGTCAAACAGAGGAATCACGCCACTCCTCTCTTTTACCTTTGCCCACGGTTGCAATTGATGTGTGCATCTCAACTTAAATTCGATTAAGGGGACTGTGAAGTTTGAATAACCGAGCGCTTTCCCGTCATTTGACTACCCTATAGAATTATGGCTAAGGTATAAACCGTCATGTGCCGACTGATGCATCCCACGCACGACCTTGCCATGCTGAAAAGTGCTTCCATACGGCGTCTAAGGAAAGGGAAGAGCTGAAACTGGCATTCCAATTTCAAAAGCACCAGAGCTTATATAAATGGGATAAAAAGACGGAAACGGCAGAAACTCTGTAAGGGTCTGCCCGTTTTCGGTATGGCTGGGAGACGACGTAATCGCTCTTGATAGCCCGGGGCTTGCAAGGCTTTGCCCGTTTTTGATATAGCGAGTCGATGTAATCGGGGACTCTCTATAGACCCCGCCGAGATCTCAAACCCTCATTCGGACCAGCAATACCGATCTAGCCACAAGTTCCAGTCGGTACACGTTGCCAACAAACTTGTAGTTAATGACCACACGCACACACGGGCATCGCCGGCCGCTCTCCTTGTGGCGAGACCCGGTGGCGCACATCCAGAAGAGGGTCAAATCTCAGGAATGTTGGAGCAAACCTTAACCTAAATCGAATCATTCGGCACGAAGAGTAAGCTTGAATCCACTCAGTGGTACCGGGATAAAAAGGGCTGATGGGCTGTCCTTGAAAGCCCAGACAAGCCATCGACTGTTCCAGACCGGCAGAAGTCTGCTGCGCCGGCACATACATCTCGACACTGGGACATTGCACCCTGCGAGAGGCGAAGCCACGCCCAGTTTTATTCATTGTCGCCATGGTCTCGACGCGACCAGTCTCTTCAGTTGGTGGAGGCTCATAAAAAACAAGTCCCTATACCTTCTTGTCGACTTCCGCATCTCATTTTGTGGCCATCTCGTTGGACTATCTTTCTAACATTGCAAGAATTGGGAGAACGACGACGTCCGAAATCCGCGTCAAGTAACAGTTTGCCTGCATCAACATTGTGTCTCTTGCATGCAAGGTGCCGTGCTTGGCCAACCAACCCCCTGACAATTTGCCCTCATCTGAAGGACTCGAGCGTCCAGGTGACTGGACATTGCGTGGCTCAAGAGCAAAGGGTCATCCTGGCAGACTAGGGTATCGATTCGACCGCGATACACACCATGAGTTCGCGAGCAGTCTGCCTTCGACTTCGTCAGAGTCTCCAACCCGCGAGTCCGAATCGCCACAGAATGGGACCAGGCAGAAAGCCCCTTGAGCTGCGCCCCAACGCCCTCTACATCATCCTGTTCCTGAAGCAGGAGCAGCTCACGAGGCCGAGATCCTTCACGGGATCGACGCAGTTCTCCACCAATGACGACGACAGATTCGAATGGGGACTGTACTGGTGTAAATCGCCAGAATCGGCGGCATCACCGGGGGTGGGGTTTAGCACTCGCTACCGGGAGAAGGACGGTCTCTGGACCTTTGAGCACACCCTGTTTCCGAGCTTGGGCAAGGAAAGCCGAATCTCGATCGAGAGCGACCCGAGGGTCGTCCTAGCCCTGCACATTGAGAACATGTACTGGAGCATGGCCAGTCTCCTGGAGGAGAGTCTCTGCCCCAAGAACTTCTTCCACAGCCAGCCGTCGCGCGATATATCGTGTGGACGGACGGAGGCGATAGCAGGTATCGGGTACCTCGACGTGGTGATGCCGTCCCGGGACCGTGTATGGCTGGGTCACGCCTTGTTGCTGTTGAACGATCGGGGATTCATCTCGCTGCGGGAAGAGAGCAGCGTAATAATGGTCAAGAGGGAGGCATTGTCGAGAGCGAAAGCCAACATGGCCCCATGGGGTCCAAGGAAAAGTGTCGAGACAAGCGAGCATGTGCATTATGATACCCACGGGGAGGATGTTCGGACACGGATACAACTATCGCTAGACGAGTCTGCGCCCACGAGGCCAAGCAATGACCGACAAGAATTGCCGAGATGATGACGGCTGCCGACACAACAAGGGGAAAGAATAGGAATAGGAACCCCCCTCATCAGTCATGGATGAGGTACTGAGCCCAGGCCTTCCAGCGACATGGGGAGTCAGATCGGCAGCTTAGTCGAAGCGGTCTTCAAGTCTGGTCCTTGACAACCACCCCCCCCCTCCACCGCCGGTCTTTGAAGACCATGGAAAATTCTTGCATACGAGGGAAAAGATCCGGATATTTCAGTGCATCTCGCCGCAGGCACCAGCAGTCGAACATCGCGTCCGTGGCTGTATGGCTCTTGGCGTTGAGGCGAGGACCCCGGCGCACGGAAACAAAGGAACGCTATAGAGAGCGGTTGGCAGGAGACTTTCTGCGCATTATGCGACTCTAGCCTTCAGTTGGGATTTTGGTGACATGGTGAGAAGCATGTAGGACTGAAAACGCCAGGAGAATTGCAGAGTTATGGTGAGGGTATTGTGAGTTACAGTGACAAGGCAGGCATTGCCGTCTGAGGCAGAAGTGCTTCCAGGGGTCAACTGTAACGTTCTTTCTCGAACATCGGGCAGCAACAGATAAGGTAGCCATGGTATAGACCAAAAAGATACATTTCCGTTCATCCACACTCCAATCCTCTATCTGGAGATACCAACCATCAGCTACATGCCGCCCATCGATCAAAAGCGAAGCAAGGCACCAGCTGGTAGGAAATCACCCGAAAATCAAGGACGCCACAAATTGGAAGAACACTATGGCCAACATGGTCCATTTGTGTCGCCACCCCTGCCCCGGACCTCAGGATCAAGACGGATGGCAGATGTTTACTTGCTCCTATGCTCGTGAGCGAACCAGCTTGATTGTATTGTGGCAGCATCGAATGTTGCCAAGGGGCACGTCCCAGCCTCCCGAATCTGAACCTTTGCCAGGTGTTTGTGTGTCTACCTGTTCCAGACCGCCGACGATACAAATCCATGAACGCGTTCTTGCTTGGTGCAAACGACCGGCCTACCGACGTGCGAAACTAGATGGATAGGGTCTCAAGTCAAGACCTGGGGCTTGATATCACAGGTTGGCCACGTGGCACTCATTATAACGCTCATGGACCCTTTCGATTCACAAATGCTTGATCTGAGATACCATACTTTGACAGTTCGACTCTCTCGAAAAACGTCCAAAGTACCTAACGAAAGCCTTACTTCAGACAGGGACGATGATGCACCATGACGTCAGCTCTCACTACGCCAGGGCAGGCCCTGGGATCGGGTACGAAGTCGCTCCGTACATGTTGAACAGGATACCAGGGTCAGTCGCCGTGTAGAGGCTCGTGCCAGGTACACCGCTCGGCTGCGCCGAACCGCCGCCAGACACCTGGAAGTTGATACACTGCGGGTACAACTGGGCGCCGTTGGGGCTCCCCGCACCGTGGAGAGCAATGATCTCGTGGCGGAGCACATAGTTGCCCGCGGCAATGTCGCTGGGGATGGTGACGGACCAGCGGTTGCCGTTATCCATGAGCTCGTCGGCGGCCCAGACACCATTGTTCAGCCCCTTTTCGGCAATCTTGAAGAACTGCAGGCTCTGCTTGTTGACGTTGGCGCAGGACCCCGAACCGCAGCTGGCGAGATAGTCAATGACAGGCCCCTTGTGGGAGCCGGGCCACGTGTTCCACTTCAGGGTGACGGTCTGGCCTGCCTGGACGGGGATGGCGCTCTGTCCCGGCGTGGCTGACCTGTGGCAGATGATATCGGGCGAGGACACGGCGTTGGGCGCGACGAAGCCTAGGTCTGTGTTGGAAGCCGTCCAGCCAGGGAGAGCGGGTGGGTTGGGCATGTAGGGATGGGTGGTAGGGTTGAAGTTCTGGTGAACAGTGCCACCGACGGTGATGGTTTCGACGAATCCATGGGCAGAGACGCCGAGAGCGGCAAAGAGAAGGAGAAGGGCCTTCATATTGAGGGCCTTGTGTAGGAGGTAATGGGAGGAAGATGTCTTGGGGCTTTCTGACTTGGCTGTTCCCTGACAGTCTCGGGAGGAAGTCTCACCTTCTTATACTTGCATCCTGGTGGGCACTCGTAGTCTTCAGTCAAAGGAGTGGTGAAACTAGAACCACTGTAACATTCTCGAGATGGAGCAGCACTTACACATGGGGTGTAGTGTGATGGATCGTCGACTGCCGCAGTGACCTCTTCGGGAAGTCGGACGGCGTGCCTCCGCAGAATGAATGGCAAAATCAACACTGAACGGCGTCAAGTGACTCTAGAATGGCTGATTCTGTATGCGACATTAATTAAGCAATCACTAATTTGCAGCATGAGGCGTTCAATGGGAGTCTATCGCCGAGTTGCCGTTTTGCCTATCCATACTGCCAAAGCACATCCATGCCCACGCCACCCACCCCCCCACAGGATATAAGCATAACATCAGAGTAAGCATCACGAATACCGATAGGCAGCGGTATGATTGGTTGTAGTGAATGACCATCTTCTTGGTCTGCACTGGAGGTGTGCTGGCCCTCAGTGCATTCGGCTACCCAATATCAGCGTGCCCTTGCCTCAGCGTGAGCTTCACAATATCACATCAAAATGATCACATACAGGCCTAGGAGCTCGTCGGAAGCTCTCAGGCTTGAGAGGCGGTGTTTTGGGCAAGGAGCTGCCTCTGAGATGAGTTGGCAATGTACATGTACTTTCCCTACATGTAGTCAGACACTTCAGAGAATGCAATTCCCTGAGGCCAGATGGCTACGCAGTGTTCCAAGGCAGAGCGAGCCTGGAACAGTATAGAATCTGCACCCCGGGATCTGTGAACGTCCCGTCTTGTTGTGACTGGCCACTTGTCCATGGAAGTGGCCTCGGCCAGCGGATGCTCCCCGATATTCACATTGCGCTGCTCGTGCCACCTGCCCTCCATCGTGCGCGGGGGATTGACCACGAGACAGACACTGAGGTCTTCGGAGATTCGAAGGAAGATCGCGATCCACGCCCCCCGGCAAAAGAAATGTCCGAAAGGACCTTGAGAACAATCGGATGGTCACTCTCCGAGCGCTTGATTGCGCATTATCTCATCCATGTGGTAGTAGTGTATGTGAATCGAGCTTTTGTGACGCAAGGTCACTTGCCCATCACTCTAGTACGTGTATCGAAACCTGGGGTTATGCTCGCCTAGCTCTTCAATCTCCTCCTCCGTCATACCAACCACCTTGTGATCCTCCTCGCCATTCATCTTGCGCTGGTTCTGGCGACGGAACCACCACCACATGAGAAGATAGACGGCCGCGGCGATGGCGATGAAGCCCATGGAGACGGCGTGGCCGGTGATGAAACGCGGGCCTTGGTCGTTGCGGTACAGCTGAGGCCACCGTTAGCAGGAGCTCGACTGGCGAGCGGGGGACAGAGGACGTACAAAGGGGGCAGGGATACCGGCAGCGTTGCCAATGGTCAGCTGAAGACCAGTGGCCACGGTTCTCTTGCCGTAGCGAGGGTTGTTGCTGGGCAGCCAGGCCAGCGGGATGCCAACGATCACGTACAGACCAGCGGCGACGAGGAAGCAGCCAAAGTACTTGACGTTTCCTCCTGCAGGGCTGACCAAGATGGCATATCCCACGGCGCCCACCAGGCCAAATCCCACGGCAAACACGGCTCGCTTCTGCGTTTTGTCAGAGAGATACGCGACCACGAGGTAGCTTATGGCGCCAAGGGCATAGCAGGGGATCGTCAACGCCTGGACCTGCGCCCTGCTCCAGTCGCCGAGGCCGTCGATGATGGTGGGCAGGAAGGTGGAGTAGCCGTAGAGAATGATGTCGGCGCCAAACTGGCCAAAGCACATGAGCCAGATCTTCCAGTCTTTGAGTCCGGCGTACACATCCTCCTTGTGCATGAGGTCGGAGGACTTTGTATGGCCGACCTGGCGTCGCATGCGTAGGTCGATGAGCGCCTTGTCCTCGGACGAGAGATACTTGGCCGAGCCGGGCGCGTCTGCCAGCCACCACAGGACCGCGATGCCAAGGATCGTCGTGGGCAGACCCTCGATGATGATGATCCAGCGCCAGCCGCGGAGACCGGCGACGCCATCCATGAAGCCGATGCCGTAGGCCAGCAGACCGCCCATGGACCCGGCAATGGCCGCCGAGACGAACAGGTACCCAATCCGCAGAGCGAGCTCACGCTTGGTGTAGAACATGGTCAGGTAGATGGTCAAGCCGGGGAACAGACCACCCTCGAGCGCGCCCAAGATGAGGCGACACGCGACCAATCCCGCAAAGTTTTGCGTGACGCCCGTCAGCGTCGCCACAATGCCCCATGACGTCGTGATAAAGGCGATCCAGCGCGACGGCGTGAACTTTTTGATGACCAGGTTGGACGGCAGCTCCGACAAAAGGTACGTGACGAACAGGACAGAGACGGCGATCTGGTACTGGTCGCCCACGAGGCCGAGGTCCTCCTCCATGCCGTACAGGCGCGCGTTGCCAATGTTGACGCGGTCGAGAAAGCTGAGCAGGTAGAGCAGCATGACGGGCGGCACGATCCACAGGTCCAGCTTGCGGATGAGCTTGCGCTCGGCCACAGGGTCAATGGCATTGTCAATGTCGTCGCGCAGGTCGGGAGGCGTGCTGCCATCAAGGTCCATGTCCTTCTTGGGCGCAGCCATGGTGCTGTCCGTGTCGACATTGGCGGAGTGGTCGACGGACATGGCGAAGCGCGTCTTGTCGATGTGGAAAAAGGGAACTCGGGGACTCAATTCTAGTCTAGAAGCCCAGTAGAACCGTGGAAGAAGCTGAAGGGAATAATTGTGAAGCACCAATCTGACCGAAAGATGGACTGGTCGATGGTTGGGGGTGGCGAAGGGACTTTAAGCAAAGTCCACTCTCCATGACATCAAAGGCCGAAAGATGCCGCTATTATCTTCTTTTCTCATCAGTCAGTCTCCCTCTCATCCATGATCCATCCATGATCCATCCATCCATCAACAAAGCTACCCCAGGAAAGGTGGACCCGGGAGTCTGGGGCAAGATAACGCATTCAATGCGTAATTAGGTCCCAAAGGGAGGCCGCATGGATCTCCGAGAACGCAGGACAGTATGAGCCTCCAAATGATCTCCAGATCACTGAAGACAGCCGCCATCAGGCACGCAAATTGGCTGGCTTGAGACACTTCGGCAGATTTCAAGTTGCCGGACCCGCCCTCCTCGCTTACGCTGCAGATTGACCGAGTGGGGAGGAAAGGGCCGGCAATTGACTCGTACGATAATAGCGCCAGATTGGCAGATACTGCCAGACAGTACCCCGGAGGTGGAATCCCGGCGTTCGTGGCTGCATGGCTGCATGGCTGCATGGCTGCATGGCTGAACGGCTGCAGGGGCATGATTGCCGGGTTCGACGGAACCCTCTGCCCTTTCTCCCCTTGTCGCGGAGCCGGATGTGTCACGAGATGCGTCGGATGGTTTAGATGAGGAGCCGAAATGTTCTTTCAGAACCTGCAGAAGCCAGTCGTCCAAGATACTGCTCCCATTCGACAAGCGCGGTTGGTGTAAAACCTAGTGTTGGGTGGTGGAAAGTTGAGGCTTGTAATGTATGTGCAATCCATTACCTAGCAATGACCATCAATTTACATTTGGAACAGGAACTGCTCTTCAATCTCGGACGCAAACTGCCTCAGCGTCCCGTCCTCGGCAAAGACGCCGTCCGGCCAGGGCACGTTGTTCTCGTCCAGAAAGCTCCCTATCAAGGTATTCCCCAGAATGCCCATGTTCCCATAGTCCCCGGCCTGGCCCATTTCGATCGTGCACGTGGTTAGCGACGTTGACATCTCGTGCTTCCCATCTGCCTGCTGCGGTGAACTGGCTCCCCTTTGGCTTCTTTTCGGATCAGACGGTGGCGGCAGTAACGCATCCGGGAAGACGAGCTGCTGCTGGTCCATGTGACTCATCTCGCGAAGGCTAGAGATGCGCGACTGAACCTGTGATAGCCTGTCGCAAAAGTCCACGGCGGGGATGTTGCCATCGTTCTTCATCGTCCGGAGGATGCTGAGCAGTGTCTCGAGCGCCTCCGATGTGGCCGTCGTGGGCTTCATGACGGCCGACATGATGAGCACCAACGCGGCGGAGAAGATGTGATGGGCATCCCAGTAGCCAAAGGTCGCAATGGAGCCATCCAGAAACAGACTCTCGACGATTCGACTCGAAGCCTGCGCGGCATTGACGCAGCTGTCGGCAAGGGCCAGCGTGATGGCCGAAAATGTCGGCCTTCGCGGTTGCGAACCCACATGTAGTTGGTACTGCGTCTTGAAAAGATGCAACAGGACCGGACGCGTCGTTTGAATGATACACTGATTGTAGGCGAGATGCAGACTGGCGACCGGCCGGGGCGTCTCTCGCTCTTTGATCCGTATTTGTGGAGGGAGCTCGTCGTGCCATGCACGAAGACTCTTGAGAATTCCGTGGACTCGGTGAATGCAGAGTCCTTTTGGATTAGGATTCGGGTTGATACCGTAAATGTCAGTGACTTTCAGAAATCAATGTCAGCACGGACACAACGACGCCCTCTGAGGTACTCACGGATGTTGCCTATGATCCTCGCCAACTTAATATTCGTCAGCAGCGGAGCCGGATCGAGAAACTCAGCCCTCTCCTCTTCGGTGAGGCCCTCCATACTTGGCTCCTCCACATCAATGTCTTCGTCCCGCAGCATGATCGGCTGCCCCAGCTTGGACGCAGAAAAGCGGTCGAAGAAGTACAGCACCCACCACGTCCTCCGCCGACATTCTTTCTCGACGGGTGTCAGATGCGACCGGCTGCATGCGGCACGGTGCATGCCCATGGATAACGCGAGGCGCATGGCCGTACCGCTGTAGCAGTAGGCGGTTCGAACACGGCCAAAAATATTGGAGGCCCAGGCCTGGCATCGCTGTCAGTAATCGAGGGGGCGACTAAAAGGCGATGTTTACACACAAGTAATGTGAGTACTTCCACCTGCATCAGTGTAGGCTCCTCGTGCGCGTCTTGCAAAATGCTGACTGCGCGCACGTAATAGCCTGTTCCCGGCACGCGGTGACTATTGCCCACCCTTCGTCGGTTTGTGTAGGTCTCGCCCAGCGACATGAGCGCATAGAATTTGGCGAGCCACAGATGCGAAGGCGATATTTCGCGTCGATACACTGCGTCGAGCTCGCGCATGAAGCTGACCTCCAGGAATAGCGGGTGGTAGTTGCCAATGAATCGCCTCGCCACATTTAAGAGCAGCTTGGCATGCATCCGCTCTGGGAGGTCGTCGTAGCTCAGGTTGACCCTTGGGGGCGACGGCACACGAAAGTGATTCGAAAAGCTGGCTGTCGAGGGCGTGTAGTTGTCGTCCAGGCATTGCATCAAGCGGTTGCTGAACGCGGTACATGAGGCTTCGCCTATAAAGCCTGGTTCGGAAGAGGGCTCGCTGATAATGTTCTCGGGCTGGCCATCGAACAAGGGGTTCAGCATGTTGCTCTCCTCCGTGGACAGCGCCGGCGCATCCTGGTCATCAGCAGCAGCAGCGCCATTGTTACTGGGCGTGTTGACTTGTGACTCTGGCGTCGGGTTCTGGAGGTTGAGAGCCTGCAGCCGCCTGCTATCGGCCTCTAGTTTGCGCAGATAACTTGCGGTGTCAGCCTTTGCTCAGTTTGGATTTGCAGAAGAAAGGCTGCGTAGAGAAGCATCTCACCTTTCAGATATGGTGACCTTGCGCTCTCGTGGAGGAAACTGGCAGACGCTGGCCCTGTCGCTGGAGACACAGGCCTGGCACGGATGATTACCCGAGCACCTGATCTTCTGGGAATGACACCGATTGCAACTAGACACAAACAAAGCCTCGATCAGCTTCAAGTACCTATACACAGAAAAAGGTGCTGTACGTACGCTGCGAATAATCTTCTGGGTCGCCTTTGGGTACTCATGATACCATGTAGGCGATGATGCAGTTGTGATGACAACCAACGGTGGTTTGGTCTGAGGCAGGTTTGTGGGGATCAAGACCAACAAACAGACCGAGCTCCAGTCTGCTCTCTGGGGTCACTTCGACGTGAGGTCCACTGCCACGTTCAATATGTCTGCTTTGGTCGGTTGCTTGGGACCTTTGCCGCCCGTCGGGCCATCGATATCGTCGCCAGGCTCTCCGGCAAGCAGCCTACACATATCATGGCATGCGGGCAGGTCGAGCTAGGGATGGCACATGCACGCAGACTGCTGCATGAGAATCTCCAGATTCTACTGTAGACGGGGGTCTTGAACGCACTCCAACTCAGTGTGGAAGAAGGTAATGTATTGAAGTCGGTCACCTGAGCTTATGAGGCAATTCAGGATGCCCCAGTTCGGATGCTATTCAGGCTACCCTAGACCTCAGAGCCCCACTATGGTCAACGACAGCCGAAGGAATCGAAGGACCCCAAACTTCCAGACTTCATGTCCAGTCATTGATCTCCAATTCTCCACCACCCAAGTTGACAAGTTGATCGGCAACTTTCGAATTGCCGGTCGGTCCAGTCACACCCGCCCAGAAATACGCGATATCGCGGCCTCGCCCGCACAGTACACCAAGCAGCTCGTGACGAGGACGTGTCACACACCAGCAGTTGAACGCCTGGAGAACGCCGCTCCCATGGATATGCACAATACGCGAAAAGATGATCGGTAATCCTATCCCAGTGGCGAAAGATGGGCCCGGCGACTTCGGGCGGCCACGCTATAACATGGGTCGAGTCGCGCGAAGCTGGTGATAGTCACACGTCTTGAGCTTCGTGTATTCTTCCCATATTCCCCTTGTCTTTCATACCCCGTCTTCATCTGGAGGCCAACACTTGCAGAGCTGGCTACTCTCCTCCTCACCATTCCTCTCTTCACTCTATAGACCTATCTCTCGCACCCAAGAGGCACACAATGGCTTCCGGTATCCGCATCGCCATTGACCGTGGTGGCACGTTCACAGACGCCTGGGCTTCTGTTCCCGGGCGAAAAGAGCACATTGTCTTCAAGACACTATCAGTCTCACCAGATGAATACCCCGATGCTCCGACAGAATGCATCCGCCAGATCCTGGAAACAGCCACAGGGAAGCCCGTTCCCCGGGACTCTCTCTTAGATCTCTCCCCCATCGAGAGCATACGCATGGGAACGACAGTCGCCACAAACGCTCTGCTCGAGCGCAAAGGCGAGCGCGTCGCCTTCCTGACAACCAAAGGTTTCAGGGACACGCTCTTCATCGGCAACCAGACACGGCCAGACCTTTTCGATCTCTCCGTGAGGCGGCTAAAACAGCTATACGAGACAGTCGTCGAGGTCGACGAGCGTGTCACCATTGAGGGCTTCAGCGAGAACCCGGAGCCCCAGTCCATCCAAGTCTCATCAGATCCCAACCTCGTCAAGGGCCAAACAGGCGAGGTGGTCCGTATCATCAAGAAGCCTGTTCTCGAGGTGGTCCGCGAGGATCTCGAGAACCTCAAGACGCAAGGCTTCGAGAGTGTGGCCATTGGCTTCATGCACTCATACGCCTTCCCTGAACATGAGATTCAGGTCGCAAAATTAGCGCAGGACATGGGTTTCAAGGTCTCGGCCTCGTCCGTGCTCCAATCCATGGCCAAATTTGTCCCGCGCAGCCAGTCTGCCGTCGCCGACGCATATCTCACACCCATGGCCCACACATACCTCGAGAGCTTCCGGAAAGGCTTCAAGGGGCATTTGGAGGACGAGAGCGCCAACAAGCTGCTCATCTGCCAGAGCGACGGCGGTTTGGCCAGTTGGACCAAGTTCACTGGCTTGAGGGGTGTTCTAAGTGGCCCTGCTGGCGGCGTCGTGGGCTTGGCGCGGACTTGTTACGATGAAAAGGATGGAACTCCTGTCCTCGGCTTCGACATGGGTGGCACAAGCACAGACGTGGCTCGTTTTTCTGGTGCACTCGAGCACATCTTTGAGAACACAATTGCCGAAGTCACCATTCAGACGCCCCAGCTCGACATCAACACGGTGGCCGCTGGCGGTGGCTCGATCCTGGCGTGGGAGAATGGGCTTCTCAAAGTTGGCCCAGGCAGCGCTGGTGCGGACCCGGGGCCGGCATGCTATGGCCGCGGCGGGCCGCTGACCGTCACAGACGCCAACTTCCTCCTGGGCAGGATCGTCCCAGACTTCTTCCCGCGGAGGCTGGATCTGTATGTCGTGCGATCAAAGTTTGCGGAGCTGTGTCAGCGGGTAAACAAGGACAAGGAGGCCGGTGCCGAGGATTTCACGCCCGAGACACTGGCCCTGGGCTTCCTGTCCATTGCCAATGCGACTATGACGAGGCCCATTCGCACACTGAGCGAAGGCCGCGGGTACGGTGCCGCCAGTCACAACCTGGGTTGCTTTGGTGGCGCGGGCGGTCAGCATGCCGTCTTCATCGCCAGAGACCTGGGCATCAAGAAGGCTATTGTGCCACGGTATTCGAGTATCCTGTCAGCATACGGCATGGCGTTGGCCGACGTTGTTGTCGAGAACCAGGAGCCTGTTGCACTCACCTGTTCAAAGGACGCCTTGCCTGAGCTGAGCACACGTCTCGACTCCCTTTCCGGTAAAGGAGTACAGGGTCTCCAGAAACAGGGCTTCGATGGTGAATCGATAGAGCACGAGTGCTTCCTCAACATGCGGTATCAAGGGAGCGACACGTCTCTCATGATACCCAAACCCGCCAACATGTCCGAGTATGGCGACGCCTTCACGGCACGCCATGCCCAGGAGTTTGGGTTTTCGCAATCGCGGGATATTCTTATTGACGACATTCGTGTCAGAAGCGTGGGCAAGTCGCGGGTTCTGGACATTTCAAGCCCATTTGAGGAGTTAAAGAAGTATCAAGAGAATGCGCAGCCTCTGACCCCGGAACCCATCTTCAAGAGAGAGATATTCTACGAAAAGTCTGGCTGGAACGATACCAACGTCTACCAGCTCAACACCCTGACCCCTGGTGTCCAGATCACTGGCCCGGCCATGATCATCGACAAGACTCAGACCATTGTTCTTGACGCTGCCAGCAAGGCCATCATTCTTCCGGAGCACGTCATTCTTGAGGTCAGCAAGCATGAGGCGCAAGTCGTCGACATTGAGGCGGTTGATCCCGTCCAGCTCAGCGTTTTTGGCCATCGCTTCATGACGGTGGCAGAGCAGTGCGGACATGTACTCCAGCAGACGTCCATCTCCGTCAACATCAAGGAGCGTCTCGATTTCTCCTGCGCCATCTTCTCGGCCGACGGCGGTCTTGTCGCCAACGCGCCGCATATTCCCTCCCATCTGGGGTCCATGAGCACCGCCATTGCCTACCAGGCCCAGCGCTACAAGACAGGCGAGCTCAAGCCAGGTGATGTGATCATCAGCAACCATCCGCAAGCCGGAGGAACGCATCTGCCAGACATCACCACCATCACCCCCGTCTTCGACAGCGAGGAAGACCCAAGGCAGATCATCTTCTTCGTCGCAAATCGCGGGCATCATGCCGACGTCGGTGGCATCGCCCCCGGCTCCATGCCTCCCAACTCCACTGAACTGTGGCAGGAGGGCGCTGCTATCGAGTCCTTCAAGATGATCAAGGAGGGAGTCTTTGACGAAGAGGGTCTCCATGAGCACATGTACACCAAGCCCGCCTCGTTCCCGGGATGCAGCGGTACGCGCACGTGGAACGACAATCTCGCGGACCTCAAGGCAGCTGTTGCGTCCAACAAGAAGGGCATCGAGCTCATTCGATCGTTGATCAAGGAGTTCACCTGGCCGGTGGTGCAGTTCTATATGAAGGCGATCCAGGAGAATGCCGCGCAGGCCGTGCGCGACCTGCTCAAAGGGTTTGCCGCTAAGTATGAAGGTGGTGTCCTGGAGAGCACCGAGTACAACGACGATGGCATCGTGTTCAAGCTCAAGGTCACAATTGACAAGGACTCTGGCGAGGCCGTCTTTGATTTCACCGGGACAGGAGCCGAGCATAGCGGCAACCTAAACGCGCCGCCGACGTGCTCATACTCTGTCATCATGTACTGCCTGCGATCCATGATCTCTGCCGACATTCCCCTGAACCAGGGCTGCCTCAAGCCGATCAAGGTCGTCTGCCCCGAGAACACGATTCTATCCCCCTCCCCTACCGCCGCCACCGTTGGCTGCACGACCGAGACGTCGCAGAAACTAGCCGACCTCATCTTCCACGCGTTCAACGCTGCCGCTGCCTCCCAGGGCACGATGAACAACCTGACATTTGGCTGTGGCGGGACGGACCCCGTGACGGGCGAGGTTAAGAAGGGCTTCGGGTACTATGAGACGATTGCGGGTGGCGCTGGCGCCGGTCCAGGCTGGCACGGGGCCAGCGGTGTTCACACGCACCTAACGAACACGCGCATCACCGACCCCGAGATCTTCGAGAAGCGATACCCCGTGCTGCTGCACGAGTTCTCGATCCGCAGGGGCAGCGGCGGCCGGGGCGAGTTCAACGGCGGCGACGGCTGCGTGCGCGAGATCGAGTTCCGCATGCCCCTTCAGGTGTCCGTGCTGACGGACCGTCGTGTCACGGCGCCGTATGGCCTGGAAGGCGGGGAGGATGGCGCGCGGGGCGTGAACCTGTGGGTGCGAAAAGACCCCGTCTCGGGACTGAGCAGGCAGACGAGCCTTGGGCCACGGAAGACGACGCACTTTGCGGCCGGGGATCGCATCATACTCTTGACGCCTGGGGGCGGTGGCTGGGGCGACGAAAAGCAGAGGAAGACAGGCGCGCCTGCGGAAGGGGGCATCAAGGGGGCCATCAGGTCGTTGATGACGAATGGGTCGCTGGCATTGAGGAATAGCATTGCAGCTGGCAACTAGGGCTGTCGAGTCTGTACTACTATGAGTGATAATGTGTTTATGAGTAACTGTCGAGTCTGTACTACTATGAGTGATAATGTGTTTATGAGTAACGAACGGCTATGGTTCACGCGTATGGCGACAGCACGACAAGTGAGGCTTGGGCGGTGTCTCTGAGTACCCGATGTTGTAGGTCACGGCAATTGACGAGAGGCTTCCTCACGCTTCGACTTGTTGTTAAGAAGTAACCTAATAAAGCATTACGTGTAGCAGACAAAGTCCCTCTTCTCCGCATGTATCTTACAGGGCGCAAAGTGGGGGACGCGAATGACGGGCACTTGTGGTGGAGGAAGTTCCATTATATTATATTCATGTGTGCTGGTGGTGTCCCGTCCCGGGAAAGCTCATGCAACGAAGGCGTTTCACTCAGAATATCTGGAATCATGGTGAGAACCACATTGTTCTTCACGTCTCTCCACGCACTGACACGAAGCCATCACAGGATTCCAAGACGGATGCATTGTACATGCAGGACAATGACGTCGTCTCGGCTAACGCTACAGTCCTTGCCTGCTTCCTATTGCGCGAGTTGGAAGAGGATCTGAAACCGCTCTTCAAGGGCGCGCCCGATGAGTCGCTCGTCGTGGTCACCGACCGTACGGCCTTCTACGCCCAGGGTGGCGGCCAGCCCGCAGACGCTGGACAGATGCGGATGACCTCGTCCTCCCCCGACAAGACGGCTACTTTCACGGTTCACAGTGTCCGCAAATCCCCGAGCGGCACCATCCTGCACGTGGGCACGTTTGAAGACGGGTCGTTCACCAAGGGAGACACCGTGGAGCAGACAGTCGACGCAGCGACGCGTGATCTCCACTCGCGCATCCACGACGCAGGGCACATCATCGGGCTCGCGGTGCACGCGCTGGTCGACACGATCGGCGCGGTGGAGGACACCAAGGCGCAACACTACCCGACCGTGTCCTACGTCGAGTTCAAGGGCACGATTGACGGCGCGCACAAGGCGGCCATTGAGGCGCAGGCCAACGAGATTGTGGACAGGGACCTGCCCATCCAGGTCAAGTGGTGGACCATGGAGGAGTCGAGGGCGCGCTGCTGGTGTATACCAGAGGAGCTCGTCCTCGAAGAGGATGAGAAGGCGAGGGCCGTGGATGTCCCCGGTCTAGGGGCGTATCTGTGCGGCGGCACGCACATGAAGACTACGGGGGGCGTGGGTAAGATAGAAGTGAAGAAGATCAGCAGGTCCAAGGGCTCGAGCAAGATATCCTACGCGATGAAGGCATGATGGGCCGGAGGTTACTTTAGAATCAAGTCATTGTAACGGCCGTCGCTCATGTACTCATTTCTACATCAAGTCGTCTACTCATTTCACAGCATCGTCAATCACTTGCGGAACCCGTGTCGCTGCAGCCAGTTCTGCTTGTGCTCCTCCTCCCACCGCCGCTCGGCCCTCTTGAGCGTGGCAGCCGCATCCCAATGGCCCCTTTTCTGCGCCACATCTCGCGCCGTCTCGCCCTCGCGGTCGACGACGGTGGGATCCGCCCCAAAGTCCCTGAGTACGCGGATGATCTCGCGCCTCTCCTCGTCGCCGTCCTCGGCCTTGCTCGCCGCGTAGTGCAGCGGCGTGCGGCTTTTGGCCGTCTGCGCGTTGGGGTCCGCCCGGCCGCGCTCGAGGAGCATCTCGACGGTGGGTGCGGTGGCGGACCGGGCGGCCAGGTGGAGAGCGGTGCGGCCACCATCGGACTGGGCGTGAATGTCGGCGCCGCGGTCGAGGAGGAGCATGGCGACGGCGAGTTTGTCGCGCTCTGCGGCTAGGTGGAGGGGCGTGAGGCCTCGCAGGTCGCAGCAGGCGTGGGAGACGTGACGGAGAGCCTCCTTGGCCTCTTCGACGTGCCCATCCCACGCTGCGTCGAGGAGCTTGTCCTCTTCTTCTTGCTCGCCGACCGCGCTACTGCGTCGTGGCTGCTCCTGCGGAGAACTATGCGAGGAGGATGGTGGCGAGCCAAGAATCTCTTCTTCGTCGCCCACGGCGGACGGTGAGCGGGGAGGAGGTGAGTGCGCATCGAGGTCGGGCTTCGCAATGGGCTCGACAATGGTCGGAATGTTAGCTCTTGTAGGACCAGTTGTCGCCGACGTAGCTGAGGATGGCATTGGGTCGCGTGCCTTGCCCTCTTCAGCTTTCGCCGCAGTGTCATCCAGCCGTGGCTGCTCCTCAGCTAGCTGAGGCTTCACCTTGTCACCCGCGTGCGTTTCTTCAAACTTCTGGGCCTCCTCCCTGGTGACGGGTGCTGGAGGTGGCACGACTCCGGATCCGGGGGGTGCCGGCTTCATCAGGGCACGGCTAGCTTCTGTTAGCAACTTACGAGACCCAGACTCCTGCGAGTGAGCGGCAGACTTACGAGTAAATGTTCACCATCAAGGTCGAGAGCTTGGCGAGCTCCTTCTGGAGATCTTCATCAGCCTTCTCGACCTTGTCTTTGAACTCTTCCTTGTATCGGTACGACCTCCAGAAATTCTGCATCCCATTCACCACGTTTCCGTGATCCGTGCCCTTCTTGCTAATGTCCGAGAGCAACTTTGTCATCTTGCCGAGCGCCTTGTCGGTCTCGCCTACGGCCTCCTCGATCTGCTTCTTGAGCTGCCCGCCCTTGTCCCCCTCGACAAGGTCCGGCCGCGCCTTGAGCGTCTCCTGAACTTGGGTGATGGTGTCGCGCGCCGTCGAGGCCTTGGCCGACAGCTCGTCGATTTCCTCTGGCGTCTCGGACATGTCGTCAAGCCACTTGATCCAGTCCTTGGCGGTGTCCGCATGCTTGGTGGCCGCTTTCAACCCCGCGTAGGTCATGAACGCGTTGGGCATCTGGTCCAGGAATCTGCCACCACCCGAGCCACTCCCTGACGGCGGGGGAGAGGACGCGCTGGTGGCTGCGGCATCTGGCTCTGCTGGCGCCGGTGTGCCCTGCGTCTGTGCTGGAGTGGCCGAGTCGCTCGACAATGGCGCTCGACCGGGACGGTCCTTTTCCTTGTACCGGTCAGGCTTGTACCTGTCTGGCGTGGACGATCGTCTTCGCTGATCATCTCCGCCGTCTCTGTTCAAGGCCCATGGGGCAACGCCAGGTCTCTGTCTCGGGGGGGAGGGGTACCTCGCGCTCGATGGTCTCTCGCGACCTCTACGATCGTCGTGCTCGTCCAGGTAGTCCCTCGGTTGACGACGCGGTTCGCGATCGAGACTGCTGGACGAGTCGCGACGTCGGCGGTGGCGATCATGCTGGGACTCGCGCCGGCGCTCGGGGCTGCGAGAGTATCGCCGGCGCTCGGGGCTTCGATGGCGGCGACTCGAGGGCGGGTACCGCGACGAGGAAGACTCTGGTCGTCTGTCGGGATCGTGGGAGCGAGAGCGACGGGCTGGTGAGTGGGCGCTTGTAGGGCGCGTGGAACGCGGTGGCCTGGTGCGCGGGGCTGGCGACTTGACGCGGCTGGACAAGCTCTTTATGGGCAGCTTGGGAACCATTGTACAGGTAGAGTCGTGAGGAGGTTTTGATGAAGTGAATGGCAGCGATTCGTGGAAGAAGTCGGGTCAGGGAACTTGAAGAGTGGGCATGAAATGAGGGTCCCCACGATGTTAGCAGGCAGCACGTAGCGTAGCGGGCGGTCTGTTGTCTGCCTGTCTGTTGTCCGCCACTCTGCCTTCAATGGGTGTCGCATGATGGCCATGACGCCACTCGCGTGGATCTCACGGCTGACTGCAGCACGGGGCTGGACGTCCCTCCACCTCGTCCTGCTGCTGGCTGGCTGGCTGCGGGCACATGCAGGCGATATGCAGGGCTGCTACTCGGCACATCATACGTACATACAGGCGACCTCCCGCGAACGACGCAGGACGCTGTGAGACGGTGACAGGGCCAGAGGTTTGAAGATCTCGCTTGATGATGGGAGAGTGAGAGACTGGACGTGTCACGTCACGTGGCCAGCCAGGCAACGACATGCCTCAACCAAGCAGCTCCTCGCACGCACAGCTCCTTGCGTCGTCCACATCGAACTCGTTGCGCGACTGAGACGGAACCTTCAACGACTTGAATGGACAAACACCGCCGCAGTGGCACAAACACAGTATCATGGCACCACTCGTCACCATGTGATCGATCTCTCGCTCGTCTCGAATCTTTTCATGTTGGCTATTGGCTATACTTGGACGCAACCATCTCCCCTAGTTAGTCTGATATACCGTCCCCCACAACCAGACCACCCAGTTTACACTCCCCGTCGATACCAAGAGGCTCTGCTCGAGACGGGCCCGTCGACGACGAGCTCGGGGTCCCCGCCGGTCCGGACGGGGAAGCGCCAGATTTGGCCGCTGTCGTTCTCCGAGGTGTAGAGGAAGCCATTCGCGGCCGAGTACACAGCACCCCAAATGTCAGCATCGGTTCCGGTACCCGTCACGACGCCGCAGTCCTGCACAATATCCCATTCGTTGATGATGGTGCTCCAGCGCCCCAAGGCGGTCGTTTCCACGCGGTAGAGCAGACCGGACAGGAACTCGCCGCCGCCGGGCACAAAGGCCCAGTCGGCAACTTTGTAGCCGGTCGGGACTGGGTCGTGCCCTGGGACAAGATGGTGCCAAAGGTGGGCGAGTTCTGGTCCATATCGATTTCGGCCTAGCCGAGTGGCGGGTTATTGCTGGTGGTGACCCAGAGATGGCCCTGCGCATCCACGTCGCCGCCGTTCCAGAAGTTGACGAGACCGAGTGGGTAGACGGTCGATTCGACCGTGGAGGCGATACGGATGAGGTCCACCCCGTCTCCGGATTGGCCACCTACAGGGAGCAGCATGCCCCAGATGTAGTTGTCCAAGGTGCTGTGGCCCACGGTGTTAATATTCGTCCCGGGCCCGTGATGGTAGGATTGCCGGTCGTCACCGTCACTGTCCTAGGATCGATAGGTGTTTGGATAATAACAGTGCTAGGGGTGATGCCAATCGCCGGGACCGTGATCGACGTCTTGCCCGTGATCGTGGGATTGCCAGTCGTCAGGGTGACCGTACCCGGATCCACAGGCGCTCTGGATGAGCACAGTCCCAGGGTCAGTGCCGGTATAGGGGATCGTCTGCATCACCGGCCCGGTTATGGTGGGATTGCCCGTCGTGATGGTTATGAAGATTTGGGGAATAGTCTCCGGCAAGGGATCGGGCGTCTTCACAATCACGGTACCGGGATTAGTTCCAGAGGGCGGTATAGAGGAGGTTGTCGGCGCCGTGATTGTAGGGTCTCCCGTCGTAAAGGTGCCGGTGTCGGGGTCCTCGTCCTCGGGCGTCTGGATGATCACTGTCCCAAGGCCGGTGCCACTGGGCGGGATGGTCGTGGTCTGGGTACCCGTAATGCCCGGTACACCCGTCGTAATCGTGGTGATGCGACCGACCAGGGTCTCAACCACGACAGTTCCAGGCTGCGTTCCCGAAGGGGGGATGGTGTAGGCGGGGGGGGGGGGGGGGGGGGGGGGGGGGGGGGGGGGTTGGGGGGGGGGGGGGTGAAAAAGTGTTGGCGGGGGGGGGGGGCCGGGGCGTTGGGAAATTA